CCTAACTTCCTTCTAACCATAGGATTAGGAACTCTTTTGGCAGCTCACCCTGAGTAGATCCTGATATTTTTGTTTGGAATGTTACAGAGTTTATATAGCCATATCCTGGCTGTTGGTGGCAGGAGAAGTTACAGTAGAAACATGGATCATAGTCTCTACCTTCAAGGAACTTTAAATCTATTTGAATGGAACTATTCTAAACTGATGATCAGTTCTGGGTTCTCTTTACTTAACTACTCATCTCTTATCCATATCCACTATCTCCCCATTCAGATCTTACCTGTTCCTTTCTATACCTGATTCTATCAATTCCCCTGTAAAATTCAGGTGAATTTTCCCCACCATGAAAGAATTAATTGGATTGTGAATTATTGGGTGATATTCTTATAGAAAGGATTGTGAGAAGGTAGACTTGGCCTCTTTCCCAATCTTATTGTTAACCATCTGGCCCCATCTGCCCCTTTTCTCACCTCTTGATGGTTACTGATTAATTCAGGCAAAAATTTTAAGCCAAACAGAAAGGCAAAGGGATTCCTAGGGCGATATGAGATGCCGAGGACTGATCTAATTATAACCAGACACTTTTATTTACTTAAATAAGTTATATCCATCCTTTCCTCTGTCCCTTTCTCTACCCTATCCCCAGCTGCCCAGGCTGGACAATTTGATTTAGTCTCAGAAGGCAGAGAGCATTAAGGGAAGCAGGAAACGGTCCTTCATTTCCCTTACTATTACTGAGTCCAAGTTCCTTCTGTCCCCCTTCTCAGATTGTGCTAGGGGTGTGGAACCCGCAGCCTTGAGGCCACATGTGGCCTTCTAGGTCTTTGGGTTTTACAGAACAAATCCTTTTATTAAGGGTATTTGTTCTGTGAAGTTTGGATTCAGTCAAAAGGCTGAACTTGAGAACTTAGAGGACCACATGTGGCCTGGAGGCTCCAGGTTCTCCACGCTTGTACCATATGTCTTCCAGATTGCCTCTCTTGGGAGACTGGTTTTCATTCTTCTCAATATCCTCTACCATATCCTCCTTCCTTTGCATTTGATTGTTCATTCCAGCTCTATGGTTTTTTCCCTTTATTCTCCAGGTAAATGCTTCTCTCTCCACAGCTAGGGACAAGGGTGAAATCTCAAGCATGAGATTACTCCCTTTGTCTTTAAGATGAGACTATTTTAGGAGCTCAGTTTAGGAGATAAACTTCATTCATTCTTATCTCTTCTTCCTTAGATCTGTGGAGCCTTGGAATGTTCCTGCTGTCCACCTCTGAATCTGACTCCAGCCCCGTCCCCCCACCCTAATATCAGGGCCTATTTCCAAGGAAATGCTCTTGCTTCCAGGAAGAAAGTTCTCCCCATCCTCAAAGATGCTCTGTGGGGGCATCCTGGTGCCATGAAGACACCTTCAGGAACACCTGGGCCAGAAGGCTGCTCTCAGGAGCAGATGGATGATGAACTGGACAAAGCCATTAATACCCTGATTCCTGAAATGTGTAGAGATGACGAGGAACCTGTGCTGCCCCCCACACCTATGAACAGCTTAGTAGACGAGTGCCCTCTAGATCGGGGACTACCTAAACTTTCAGCTGAGGATATCTTTGAGAAATGTAGCCAGATCACAATGGCACGTTCCTCCACCAGTCCTCCCCAAAAGAAGAAGTGATCTGTGGGGTGGGAATAAGGGGAGGTTGCAGAACATAGTGGGAAAAGGTGTCCAGCTCAGCTTGAATGCATGATTTGGAATGTGTAGGGAATTTCTGTGATTCTCTTCATTGCTCCAGGACCCAGGTACACTATTCACATAGATGTGGAAGGAGATAGAAGTGAAAGGAGATGTGATGGCTATAGGGATGGTTTTCTACCTTCCCTGACACTTTGCCATCAATCAGCCAATTTTCTTTATTGATGAATTCTGGAAATCTGCACTGACCTCATTCTTCTACAGCCCAGGGGTGTAGCATCTCACACACAGATCTATGAAAAGATAGATATTAAGAGGGAGAAGGAAATGGTACCAGGTGAACTCCAACAATGCTCTTGGCCCCTGTCTGAACAAAGACTGGGTACCTCTCATGAAACTGAGGGACAAATCCATTTGTTCAGCAAGTGTTTGACTATGTATTCTGTGCTAGGTAGAGCAAAGGTGACTTTGGAAACTTAGTTTTCAGCCTGTTTATGATAACTAGGACCATAATTTTTCTTTCTGCCAGTATTGAGGTGATAGTATTTGACTTTAAAGTTAAATCCATTCAACTGGTTCCATAAAATTGAATCTGGCATTGCAGAAGATTATGCTTGAGGCCAGATTTGAATCTCAATTTTCTGAGCAGGTTACCAGGCTTTAGGGTTCTTCTAGTCACCTTTTCCAGAGTGCCAGGGGTTCTTAAAGATTAGTGTCTGATCACATCTTTGAGAACTAATCAGTGAATCATTGTCACCTTCAAGACACTTTTTTCTCAGAACAGTAAAACTGAAGCAGTGGTTCATTCTCTCTTTGTGTCCCTGCCTCTCTGTCTTTCTCTATATCTGTCTGTCTGTGATCTGTCTCTTGTTTCTCTCTTCCCCTGCCATCGTTTTCTTTTATGTTTCTTACCTCTTTGCCAGTATTTCTTCTCTCTTCATTTAGGAGAACACTTGGTGTTGTGGAAAGAATTGGACTGAAAGCCCGGAGATTTGATTTCTACTGACTTTGGGTTTTATTTTTATTGATGTCCTTTGTATTTACATCTGAATTTGTATTTACAATTTTAATATATACCATTTCACTCTTCTACCCAGTGAACCATCCTTGTAACAAAGATTTAAAAAGAAAGAAAATTCAAGTCTTAACTGTGGGACTGTAGGTGTCAGTCAACCTTGCTGAGCTTCTGTTTCCTCCTATATAAAATGAATTAATCTTCATTGAATGAGCCCTTAAGATTTCTTCCAACTGTAAGTCTTTTATGTGTCCCTCCCTCTATTTTTCTGTCTTCTTTCTTCATCAGTTTTCACTTGAGGATGTGAAGTGGAAATATACTCTCCCTCTCCCAACTCAGCCCAGCAAAGTCCAGTGTTGCTTAAATTGTGGGGTGTGTGTTTTGTGTGTGTGTGTGTGTGTGTGTGTGTGTGTGTGTGTGAGAGAGAGAGAGAGAGAGAGAGAGAGAGAGAGAGAGATTAGGCCAAAGGACTCAGCCTCATGTAGCATATACAAGTATATGAATCATACCATACCTTAGTGATATCTAGGAGTAGCCTTCCAGTGACTCGCATGTGTTTGACTCAGCCCTCTGTTCTTCCCCTTTAGTGTCCTCCTATACCCCTCCAACAGGCCTGCTTCCCTGCCACTTCTTTACGTTCCCAGATGACCTGAGAAGGTGCTGCCATTAACTTTACTGAGTATTTAGGTACCTCCCACCCTTTGGAATGACATTGTTGCTCAGAGAGATGTGAGAGAGAGAGTGTTGTGTGTGTGTGTGTGTGTGTGTGTGTAGGAAGATTGTATCTTTGAAGGATGTCTGCAGCCATATGAAAGATAAAAAGCAATGGCATAATCACTGAACCAAAGGAATTTGTGTTTTGTAATTGTGGTAAGTTTTATTTTGCACTTTGTTAAGGCATTAAATGCATTTTTCCTGCTCTCTGTCATTTTGTCTTTTTAAAAAAAACTTTTGCAATCCTTCCTTTTGCCATCCTCCTATGAACCTCATCCTTTTACCCCCAGCTCTACTCTTCAGTATGGATGGTCTGTGGCTTTGCCCCTACCCATCTCCAGCTCTCTTTATCTATTCCTAAAATAAACAATGCCATCTTTGAGAGCCTTTTTCTCTGTTAATAGAGGGCCGACACCCTTCCCTACTCTACCCAGCTTAATTTAGGAAGACTGCCAAGAATCAAATCCGTTTTGGGACTGAGGAGAGGGACATAAAGAGGTACTGGCTTTCGCTTAAGCACCTCCAGAGGGCTAGGAGAGAAAGGAGAAAGGCCAGTTCTTCACATACACAGATTCTCTCTTTCATTGTACCCCAGACTACCTATCCCTTGGAAATCTAGCCAGAGCATTCTCTTCCCACCCACCCACTCCCCACACCCCTGCATAAAGAGGTGGATTTTCTTTGGGCAAGCCTCTTTGGGAGGGGAGGTGGCAAAACCTGTTTGAAGATGAGTTTACTTCCCTCTCTCTCTCTCTCTCCTCCTTTGGAGGCCATAAGAGTAGTCACTGAGACAGCAGCACAAGAGGGAAGAGGGGACGGGGAATTTACCCCACTCCTCATTTTAGATGTTTAGAGAGCAGTGAGACTTGTGAAGATGGGAACTTTACAGGAATCAAGAGATCCTGGGTAAGTTCTGGGCCTTCCCCTCTCTCCTGGATGCCTCTTGACAACCTGGTGTTGTTGGTGCTGAGGGAGTATCTCTTTAAGCCCCATTAATTTGACTCACAAGCTGAAGCTCAGGTTGGTTTCATAGAGGAGATGGGACAAAGTCATTACTTTTGGCAAAGAACAGGGATAGTTTTAAATAGAAAGTATAGAGACAGGTGGATAGAAAGGACCCCAGAAGAGCTCTTTGAGCAAAGTGGGAGAACCTGGTGACTCTATCCATGCTTTCATTTCTAATCCACACTCTCCAAAACAAGGAAACTGGGACCAGGACCTTCTTGACAGTTTTCTTGTTCCTAGCTGATGTTGACCTATACCTTGATTTCCCTGGCCCCACCCCACGAAAGGTTGGGGAAAGGCAGGCCTGACTGGTTGTCATCTTCCTCAACTGTAAGGTAACAACTGGGTAATCTGTTCTGGATTCAGGCCAGTTGCAATGTGGACTACCTCTGAACTTAACTTTGCAGATGGGGAAACTGAATTAAAGAGGTGAAAGGTATTCAAGTCATGCCTCTTCCTGCTTTTGTCCCCAAAACCAGAGTAGGGATAAACTGGTTCACCTACAGGGTGGGAAAAGACATCTGGCTAGATTCTGTTACAGGCCTGCTGTTTGTGCCCTCTGCTGCTTCCTATTACTTCCCGGAGTAATGCTGCCCAACTAACTGCTTCTCAATTCCTTTATACCTTGGCAGTGGTCTCAGGGCTGGAGAGAATGTGAAAGCAGAAGAGCTGGGACCATCATTGAGATTTGGGGAAGTGGAATTAAAGGAAGAATGGCAAGATGAAGAGTTCCCCCGGTGAGAGAATCAGGGAAAAGAAAGTGGAGTTGGGATGTATAGGAAGAAAGGATCAGGAAGCCCTGAGAGCATCAGTGGGGAGACAGAAGGGGCAGAGTGACAGTGGGAAGAGTAGGACTTAGCACCCTAGTCCCAATTTCTTCCTGCTGTCTTCAACTAATTAATTCCCCACATCCCAGACTGCTCCCTGAGGAGATCAATTCCTCTGAAGATCCAGAGGACAATAGAGAAGGTACCCAGATGGGTGAGTAGGGGCAGAGCTGGGTACCAAGCCTGGGCTTTTACTGTGGGGAGGGGGTGCCTCCCTTTTCCATCCTCAACACTTGCCCAGTTTCCCTTCTCTCATGTTCCTCTCGTCAAGTCCACCCTCCTCCCTCCCCCCTTGCTGTTCCCAAGTTTTTCCTCTCTTCACTTCTCTTCTCCCTGTTGCCCTAGGTCCCTTAAACACTTTAGCATTATGTGGCAGGCGTCACATGCGGAAGCGCCTTTCAGCCCCGGAGCTCCAGCTGAGCTTAGGGGAGGACACAGGAGATAAAGAAGGCTCTCCCACCCACTCCACAGCTCCTTCCCCACATGGTAGCTCTGACCTAGATGTGGATGATTTGGAGACACCCTCAGACTCAGAACAGCTGGACAGCGAGCATGATTTTGAATGGGAAGGTAGGAACTGAGGCTAAGAACTAAGCTAGAATAACTGAGAGCATGAATGGATCTGGGTAGAATAACAGGCCTAATAAAGGGGGAGACAATATTAAGAGGGCAAGGGGCCAGTGGGGGTAAAGCCGTCGTTAGTAAGTCTGTAAGGGGGATAGCTAGTGGAGCTGAGAAATAATCACTTGAAATTAGTAGGATTGATCTAAGACGTGAACTGTCCAAGTGGAGTGGGCTGTTCAAGTAGTTGGTTCTCCCTTCGGTGGTCTTCAAGCAGAGGCTGGATAGCCGCTTGTCAGGAATATTCTAGAGGGGGTCTTTTTTTTTTGGTAGAAGTTGGATTAGATGGCCCCTAGGGTTCATTCCCTCTTTTAAATTCTGTGAAAAGACTAGCTGGTAAGGGGCTGGTCTGATACAGACTCCTTGCCAGTGAGATAAAAATTCAGTTAAAAAAAAAAGTTCAATAAAATTTGTACTGGATTTGGAGTCAAAAGACCTCAATTTGAGGCCCTCTGTTCAGGCCTCAGAGTAAAATGAGGTGACCAAACTAGATAACCTTTAAGGTCTCTTCTAACTAAATGTTTTGATTCTGAAAATGGGAATAAAATTGGGAGGTCAGCATGGGAATGAAGCTAATAAGGCAGCAGGTGGGGCTGACAGAGCCACAACTAGGAATGTATGTATCTGTGTGCATTTTTTATGTACTTAAATATAATGCACTTATAACTTTATGTGTTACACACACACATACATAGGTACATATTTTACATATGTGTGTATGTGTGTGTATTTGTAAGACCTTTATATCAAAGGGGCCATAAAAGTAATTAGTGGGCATATAAAATTAAATAACTGGTTGCTGGAAAGGACTTTCATTTGGGGCATAAGTGTCCCCAAATGGAACAAGGCCACTAGTTGTCCCCACTGTGGCTATATTCTCTGAGAATGGAGAATAAGGGTTGAAGTCAGGTGATAGGGAGATGAATGGGAATGTAAACTAGTGGTCGTGGTCATTGTGCTTCTGTTACACCCAAGAGTGATGAGCGTAAATTCATCTAACCTATTCCTATCTCTTTAGATGAGCTTCCCCAAACAGAGGGCCTAGGGGCAAGTGAAGCAGCTGAAAGACTGGGCCAGGGTTGTGTGTGGGATGTGGCTGGGGAGGATGGTCATCGGTGGAAGGTGTTCCGAACAGGACATCGGGAGCTTCGAGTGGATATGACAGTCATTGAACCCTATAAGAAGGTCCTATCTCATGGAGGTAATAGATGACAGGAGGATAAATATAGGAGCTGGGTTCCCCATAATTAATAGTATTTGAGCTGGGGACTATCAGTCCCCATCACCATTCTGACTTCCTAACTTCTTGTCCCTTCCCCTCTTGGTCTGCTTTCAAGCTGCTTCTCTCAGACTTCACTAATTCTCTTTTCCTTCCTGCCCCTAATCATGTCCTCCCCAGGTTACCATGGTGATGGCCTCAATGCTGTTATCCTTCTTGCTTCCTGCTACCTACCCAGAAGCAGCATCCCTAACTACAGTTATATCATGGAGCACCTGTTTAGGTGAGAAGGGAAACCTAAAAAACTGTGGGGAGGGGGGACTGAAGGAGGGAGGGGAAAAGAAGTCAGAAAGACCTATAACATAATCAGTAATCAGTGTTACACTTTTCTCCTCTTCATTCCCCCTCCCCACTCAATCCACCCTCAGGTACATAGTGGGGACTCTAGAACTCTTAGTAGCTGAGAATTACCTGCTTGTCCACCTGAATGGAGGCACAAGCCGAGCCCAGGTACCCCCTCTGAGTTGGATCCGCCAATGTTACCGCACCCTGGACCGTCGGTGAGAAGCCTGGCAAAGATCATGATTATTGGCTGTTCCCTACCCCCTCCTTCCTTCTCTGATCTCATTCCTTTCTGCTGTGGTCTCCCTCTCTTTATTTTCCCCCATCCTTTCTTCTCTCTTCCCTTTTCTCCTTCTCTCCCTTTCCCCAAATATCCCTCCTCTCATTTATTTTTGCTCTGTCCCTGCCTTCCAGGCTCATGTTTCCTTTTTCTCTCAGCCCTCCTTGATCTCCTCTAGTTAATGACTATTTGCCACCTGGAGTTCTTGTACAAGAACTCTGTGGAATAGAAAGAACTCAAGAGGGAGCAAAGGAGACATGAAAATGAGGACGAAACTAGGAAACCACAGATAGGGGAGTCCAGAGAAAAGTAAGCTGAAGGCCTGTGTCCCCAAGCTGGGGTGGATTGGAGACAGAAGGCATTTCAGGAATTTTTTTAGAATGAGGAGGGCATGAGAGACAAAAAAAAAAAAAGAAGAAGGCCTCAGACTGCAGCTAGAAGAATGAGGGTTAGACCTCAAAGGGAAAGTCCTAATGGAGGATTGCAAATGGATGTTGATTAAAGGGGGTATGAAGAAGATACAGAAGAGACCTCCATCTGGGCTTGGGGCTCAGATTAAGAAGAAGAATGTGATGATCCCACACTTTTTGCTTCAGACTCCGAAAAAACCTTCGTGCACTGTTGGTTGTCCATGCCACATGGTATGTGAAGGCATTTCTGGTGATGCTGCGGCCTTTTATCAGGTATTTACCTCAGGGGATACAGGCATCCTGCTCCTCAGATCCACTGCCCCTTTTTCATCCTCACATTCAGGGCCCAGACTCATATTTCCCACCTTCCCCTCATTCTTTCTGGCTCTAACCATTCTTCCCTGTACCAACTAGCTACTGATTGCCCTTGTATTCTGTGAAGATGTATGAGAGCTGCTTCTCTAATCTTAAATACACATGACTTTTCCTCTATCCTGAGTTCCAAGTTTAGCAGAAAGGTTCGTTTTCTGGACAGTCTAGGAGAGCTGGCCCAGCTCATCTCCTTGGAACATATCCACATTCCTGATGCTGTCAGACAGTGAGTTCTGGGAGGGACTTCTGAAGTGGGAGAGAGGGGAGAAATAGACAAGCAGAATCATGTGGAGAGAGAAGAAATGAAAGACCTAGTTCTTACCTTCAGAACTTTACACTTAAAACTTAACTGGGAGACCCAGCACTCATACGAAAGTGACTTAGGAATTCCCTGTATTTGGCCCATGCAAATATGTTGGTTATAGGCTGGGCAAAATCCCAGGGAGACAAAAAAAGAGTGGGCAGAGCAGGATAGGGTTAAGAGAGAGGGCTCTCTTGAGGTGAGTTTGGAAAGAGGGGAGGGACAAAAATCATGGATCAAAGATTGGAAAATGGGAGGGACCTCAGCTGTCATCTGCTCTCTGTTGAGGAGGGAGCTGAAGTTTAGAGATGTGGGTGGCTTGATCGAGATTACACAGGTAGTAACTGATGTGGAAATATATATAATACAATGGTACATGTATAACCTCTATCAGATTGCTTGCTGTCTTGGGGAAAAGGGTGGGGAGAGAGGAAGGGAGAAAATTTTGGAAACCAAAATCTTATAAAAGTGAATGTTGAAAACTATCTTCACATGTAATTGGAAAAATAAAATAAAATATTAAGTGGGGAGGGGGGGAAGATCAAACAGGAAGTGAGCAGCAAAGCCCCATTTGAAACCAAAATCCAGCACACACAGTGTGGGGAGACTGGTCATAGTTTTGAGAGGGCAGATTTTATGTAGGGAAACTAAGGAGTAGGGAAGAGTAGAAAGGACTCAGACATCTATTTACTAGATCCACTCCTTCACCCAAGTTATAGTAGAGTGTCCAGATATGATGCTCCACTCTTTGTCCTTTCTCTCTCCCTACAACCTAGGTTGGACAAGGATCTGCATGGCCCTGGAGGGACCTAACACTGATGTCTCAATTGGATAATGAGCCCTAGAACCAAGGAAGGAGACTGCCCTCCTGCACCTGAACTTCCTGAATTTATATACACTCTATCGGTCTCTGGGTCTCTCTTTCTCTCTCTCCCCTAACCCATTAACCCTTTTTGGGATTTTGCTTTCCAACTCATCCAGGTGTTCTGACCTCTGAAACTTCTGGGATCCAGGGAATCCTAATTATCAACCATGCTAGTGATTTTCCCCTTTATATTTAAGCCTAAGGGCTGGACTGAAAAGGCAAGTTTGGACTTAATGCCTGCAGCTTGTTTGTGCCCATGACTATGTATTAGGCATAGCCAGCTCTCTGAGCTGCCTTTCTGCCTGTCTCAGTGCCTTCATATCTCTATTCTTCAACTAATTCAGATGTGCAACTGCAGTTTAATAAATTAAGTTACCAGAGAGGACTCGATTTTGTGAAGGAAACCTCCCCAGTTCCATCCCAGTGACAGTCACAATCTCTTTGCCTACTGGTTCTACCTGCAAGCATGTCTTGCGGGGAAGGAGTATTCAGGAGAAGAAGGAAGCAGAGACAGAGATGATATGGGTCGGGTTGGAGGTGGGGGTGGGGGTGGGAGTTCTATAGCAAGGTCCCCTCTGTTTCCATGCAACGCCGTAAGGGAAGCGTCACGAGCTGCCAGACTTCACTTCAGTTCAAACGAACCCGGGAGTCCAGAACGAAAAGAGAGGGAGGGAGAAAGAAGCTGAGCCCTTGCCCCTTCCCACCCTCCCATCTCTTCCCCTCGACTGCCTATAAACCTGTCCTCCCCATGGTCCCCAGCGGCAGGGCGCTGCTGTGGGCCCTGTGCCTGATCCTGGGGGCCAGGGCTGTGAAAGCCAGGATCCTTGTCCAGATCCACCCCGGAGCGGATTGGGCTGGTGGCAGCGAAGGGGATGCCGTCACAGCTGGGGTCCCAAACAAGTTCTGGTCCAAGATCGTGAAAAGGAATGAACCTGGTTTGGTTGAGAAAACAAATCCCAAGGAAAAGGAAGAAGACAAGCTGGCTGCCTCTGCTGCTGCCGCTGAGCACCTGGCAGCCTCAGTGTCCTCAGTATCAAGGAACCAGCAAGGACAGGGCCTGGAGGAGGGCCAGGAGCTAGAGGGGGATGAGGGGCGGACGGAAGACCAAGAAAATGGCGAGGACCTAGCGCAGAAGGAGAAGGAAGACCAGGACCAAGAACTTAACCAGATGAAGAAGCATCCCAGAGACCCAGGGCAGGATCAGGGTCAAGCGCAGAAAACAGAGCAGGAGCAGAACCAAAAACAGGGAGAGATTCAGGAGATAGAGAAGGAAGAGGAGAGAGAGGGAGAGGAACAAGGGCGGGAAGAAGCGCAAGAGCAGGTCCAGGGGCTTGAGCAAAGGCAAAGACAGGGGGAAGAGGGTCAAAGGCAAGAAAAGGAGGCTGGAGAGTTAAAGGAAAGTCAGATCCTGGGCCAAGAGCTGGAGCAACAGCCGAAGCAGGTGCAGAAACAGATAAGGAAGCAGCAACACATTCATGTGCAGGAAGAGGTGCAAGACGAAGAGGAGGAGCAAGAAGGGCCGGAGCAGCTGCAGATTCAGAGGCAGGAGCAGGAGTGGGAGGAGGAGGAGCGGGAATGGGAGTGGGAGGAGGAGGAGCGGGAATGGGAGGAGGAGGAGGAGGAGGAGGAGCAGCAGCAACAAATTCATGAACAGTGGCAGGAGCCGGGGCTGTCTCTGGCGAAGGAGCAGCAGCAGCAGATTCTGGTACCCCACCGGAAACAACAGATCCAGAAGCTGCCTCAGGCGAAGGAGCAGCAGCAGCAGATTCTGGTGCAGGCGGAAGAGCAGAAGCAGCAGCCGCTACCACAGGCCAAGGCGCAAGAGCCTGTGCTGGTGCAGCCTCCAGCAACTACAAAAGGGCCAGCGCAGAAGCAGTTGCCCCTCAGGGCGTCTGAGCAGGCAAGCATGGGTCCAGGCCCTGGGCACAGCAGTAAGAGCTCAGGAATTTTCCCCAGCCCCGGTCTTGGGACCTATGAACCACAGCAGCTACCACTAAAACCGCAGCAGCGACCGCCCCACCTGGAGCAGCTACCACTCGGACCGCTGCAGCGACCGCCCCACCTGGAGCAGCTACCACTCGGACCGCTGCAGCGACCGCCCCACCTGGAGCAGCTACCGCTCGGACCCCTGCAGCGACCGCCCCACCTGGAGCAGCTACCGCTCGGACCCCTGCAGCGACCGCCCCACCTGGAGCAGCTACCGCTCGGACCCCTGCAGCGACCGCCCCACCTGGAGCAGCTACCGCTCGGACCCCTGCAGCGACCGCCCCACCTGGAGCAGCTACCTCTCGGACCCCTGCAGCGACCGCCCCACCTGGAGCAGCTACCTCTCGGACCCCTGCAGCGACCGCCCCACCTGGAGCAGCTACCGCTCGGACCCCTGCAGCGACCGCCCCACCTGGAGCAGCTACCGCTCGGACCCCTGCAGCGACCGCCCCACCTGGAGCAGCTACCGCTCGGACCCCTGCAGCGACCGCCCCACTTGGAGCAGCTACCCCTCCGACCGCAGCAGCGACCACCTGAATTGGAGCTTTCCAACAGAGGTCCGATGTACCTGGTTATGCTAGCTTGGAGCCCTTGGGAATGTCATTGCCCCACGGGTACCATGAGCCGAGTTCGGAGAGGAATTTTTTTGGGTTTCACTGGGCGTCTTCGACCTGGACCCCTGGAGACCCAGCACCAGTCCTGCATTTATGCCCAATGCCACTGTAACCAGGAGAACAAAGAATGTCCCTCAGACATCTCGTGTTCCTCCAACCCTGCTGCCTGCAATCGAAGTACTTTTCTAACCCAATTAGCGATTCCAGAAAACACCATCAAGGACAGGGCATTCAGGAAACAAGTCCGAGATGGGCTAGAAGAAGTTTGGGTAGGACTCCAGTCTCTGGTGACCAAGGAGAAAAAGGTGAGCATCAAGAATGAATGAGTGAATAAATAAATGAATGAATGAATGAGGTATTTATTATTAAGCACTTGGTATGTGCAAAGCACTGGGAATTCCAAGAAGACAGCCCCTGCTGTAATGATTTATCATCTAATGAATTATCTGACCCATGTTTTATATCAATACTTGATTTATTATGTGCCAATTAGGCATTGAAATCAACATATTTAGATGGTAACTAATAATTTCTGATCACATAGCTCTTGGTTGTTTTTTGACCGGTCTACTGGTTTTCATTTTGTTACCAAAAACCACTGAGATTGTACAAAGCAATCATTGTACAGATTAATCTTCAATAAATGGAAACTGACCCACTGATAATTATTAGATGTGGATAGATCAATGATTTATCAATTTGTTGGCTAGAGCAGCTCAAACAGCACCTACTGACTGGGTAATGATTTATTTTACACTGACTAGTATAGTTCCTTTATTTTACTGGTGGGATGATTTTTCAGCATAAGGATGAAGTCAAGTAAGTGGGATGTACATTTGTCTCTGTCACTGCCTGTTCCTATTTCTCCCCCTTAATGGGTCTCTTCACATACCTGTAAATGTCCAATGAGAGTACAGCTTAATACATAAAATGAGTAGATTCCCTTGTATTCTAGGAGTGGAAAGTTTCAAAGCCTTGTGTTTTCCCCACTACTGAAGCCCAAGACGTTATCTTTTTTATTATCATTATTTTTTTAAATTTTTTGATGTAAATTTATCTATTTTTAGTTTTCAACATTCCCTTCCACAAGTTTTTGAGTTCCAAATTTTCACCCCTCTCATCCCTCCCCCCACCTCAAGATGTCATGCATTCTGAATATCCCTTCCCCTACTCTTGTCTATCTCTCTCCCCTTCTCTTATCCCCTTCCCCTTCTATTTTCCTGTAGGGCAGGATAGACTTCTGTACCCCATTTCCTATATTTACTTCCCAGTAGCATGTGAAAACATTTTTTTTAAACATATGTTTTTAAAACTTTAGGTTTCAAATTTTCTCTCTTCCTCCCTCCCACCCACCCTCATTGAAAAGGCAAGCAACTCAATATAAGTTGTACATGTGCAGTTATGCAAAACACATCCGTAGTAGACATGTTGTGAAAAACTAACTCTATTTCCCTTAATCCTATCCTGCCCTCCCATTTATTCTATTCTTTCTTTTGACCCTGTCCCTCCTCAGAAGTATTTACTTCTGATTACCCCCTTTCCCAATCTGCCCTCCTCTCTATCATCCCCCTGCTCTCTTGTCCCCTTCTCCCCCTATTTTCCTGTAGGGTAAGACAGATTTCCATATCCAATTGAATGTGTATGTTATTCCCTCGTTAAGCCAAATCCTATGAGAATAAGATTCACTCATTCCCTCTCACCTTTCCCTGTTTCCCCTCCACTGTAGGAGACTTTTCTTTTCTGGGTTTTTTTTTTGTGAGATAATTTACCCCATTCTACCTCTCCCTTTCTTCTCTGGGTATCATCCTCTCTCATCCCTTAATTTTATTCTCCAGATATGACCCCTTCATCTTCAGCTCACCCTGTGCCCTCTATCTATCTATCTACATATACATACATATAATTTTTTTCCTCCAACTACCCTGATACTGACAAAGGTCTCATGAGTTATAAATATCATCTTTCCATGCAGCAATGTAAATAGTTCAATCTTAATAAGTCCAAGACATTATCTTGTAAGGTGGTTGGGAATAGTGCTGTGGTTAGGGAGGGCAGTATCAATAGGATGGTAGGTGGAGGAAAAGTCAAGGAGAAGGGATGATATACAAATGTGATTGTAATTTCCCCTTTTCTCTGCCCTAGATAAAGAGAAACCAGAAGTGATGGCCACGTCCAGCCCCAAAGGAAGAGGAGGGGGTGTCAGCACCCTAGTCTCCTTCCCCCTTCCACTGCTACTTCAAATTTTCCACATCTTATGGATATCTTTTGTAAAATAATAAAGGTTGTTTATTAAAAAAAAACACACACAGAATCTTTTGATCTTTTATCTCATTGAAGGGGTGGTTGGGCCTAGAAGAGGATGGAGACATACACCCCCCACCCAAGAAAAGAATCAGTAATTTCTATACAATTTCCTCCTCTGCTCCCAAGTTATAGCCTGAAATGCTGTTATTTATTTTCTTCCTTATTTCCAAGGCTAGTTTTTTAAATGTCTGAATCTAGGTCAATCTAAAGTCAAAGAAAAGAAAGTAAAGGAGAGTCCCTAGGAGTCATGGTCTTCAGATGTTATCCCAGTCTTTCCCCTGACTCCATTCTGTCCAGCCCCTTCCTGAGACAGGAATTCTGAAGGCCCCATTTGAGTGCATTCACCTTTGCTTCTCACTCTCCTACCCTCACGATGTAAGCCAAGAACCTCCTAACTCCATCCACCCAGATACAACATTGCCTTTCCTCCCCCAACTCCCCATCCCCATAAGCCCCTACAAAGAAAGATCCTTCTGAAGCTTTTTGCTGGAGAATTTTTTTATTTGAAAAAACATATTTAACAAAGTCTGGCAGTTTTGTTTTTGCTTTTTTTTTTTTTTGATAAATTAAGACTCTCAAACCCATCCCACTCACTTTTGGAAGTTGGTAGAAGTGATAGGGAAGGCTTAAGTGACATCAAGTGAGTTCCATAAAAGGGAAGGCCAATGGTAAGAAATCTCAAAAGGAAAGAAAAAAAGGAGTGTGGCCCAAGACTAGAGATGAAAAACTACAGTGTTCACAGATCCAGCTGACCAGACAATACTTCAACCCTTCCAGAACCAAGTCAATTCAATTCCCAGGCAGAGATTCCTAGTTTCCACTTAGCTTTCAGGGTAGAATTCAGGCTACCCCTCAAAATAACCAGAAAGATGAACAAAGAGTAAGCCAGGAAATTATTGTCCCATATCAACCATTGATCTAAAGCGATGATAATAAAAAAGAAGAGCAAAGTTTTGAAAAAATAAATGCCCCTAGTCAGTGCAGATGGAGGCAAAGTACTTATAAAGATGGAAGAATTGGAGTCTTGGGTCACATGCTCCTAAGAGTTCTCTTAGTGTCTCCTTCCTGCCATGGGAGTGACTACAGAGACAGAGAACTCCTTGCCTGCTTTCCTCAGTTGAGTGGAGGGTCAGGTTTAGGTTTGGCTTATGCCTTCCTCAGTCTACTTCCCTACTCCTTCAGAAAGGGAATCAAGCAGAAATACCAGAGACAGATTGGAGGTATCAAGACCCCCCACCACTTTCCTCTTTCAAACAACACTGGCCCCTTTTGTCAGGTGGGGAGCTTCTCAGAATTCATCCTAAACCTCACCGGGGTCTAGTATTGCACGGGAGGGGAGCAAGATGTGGAATTTTCACCACTGGCCCTTCCCATGTCAGGGTACTCTACTGAGGTCTTACTTAGCCCTTTGGGACCTCTCCCAATCAGCAAGAATGACCACATCACACAAACATACATCTATCACAGAAACATCAGATACACATACAGAAATAGTAAAGTTGCATGGCTTGGAAAGGTGTAGAATCTTGCTAACCCTGGCTACAAGTCACCCCATGTCTGTCCACAGCCCAGCTGCAGACTCTAAGATGGGCCAGAACTTGAGGAAGAAAATCACATCCTCAAATCTCAAATCTACTAGGGTTTATACTCTGAGCAGAACCCTGCCCCCAAGCAACCACATTATTGTGAGGTTTCCACCTACAAATTCAAAGGTAGCCTTTTATCTCTCTCCCAGGATGATCAGGAGGTCCTCCCTGAGATATAGCTTCCTCCTGTAGTCCCAGGTCCCACCTCCTCTTTCCATTCTCTCCCTCACCTGTGCCAGCAGGGGAGGTCAATGGAGGTCAAGCCTGATCCTGAGAATTTGACAGAACGACAAATGTCTAGTACACAGGCAGTTTCTCCCAATTCCCAACCCCAAGATAGATGTAGTGGGGATTGTGATGGTTCCTGGCATGGCTGGGGAGTAATTAAGAGAACTGGTCTTAAATTAACTTTTTAATTTAAAAAAAAAAGTGGGGGAGGGGGAGGGGATAATTGGTGGGGAGAATACTAATGCTATAGAAACCAGGGCTCAAAGGCCCTAGGTGTTCAGAGATAGATGCTGAAATGCTGTGAGCTGAGGAGCTAGAGTCCAAAGGGGGAAAATGAGAAAAGTAGTTGGTTGTCTTCCCCAGCCCTTTGCCTGAAATCTGCTTTCAGTCCAGGAAGAGAGCTAGAGAAGTTGTGGATGCAGGTAGCAATCAACAAAGCCGGCCTCAGCTCTGGCAATGCAACCCATCTACCCCAAGAAGAGGATTCCTAAGTTAGGGGTCCAAGTTAAAGAGCAGCCCAGGGCCCAGACCATCATCAAGAAACCTAGACTTCACCCATGGTTCCTCCCAAGGGTGGGTGCGAGGGTTCCTATCTCAGGTCAGTTGGGCATCCAAGACTAGAAGCTGACTAGCCAGTGGCCATTTGGTCAGTCCTGCTGCCTTGACCCCATCTCCAGGAGGGGCTTGACCAGGGTGGCATAGTGAGGAGTCCAGTCTCCCAAGCCCTTCTAAACAATGACAGGGAGGGAAGACAGAGGGGAAGGTCCTGGGGTCACTGGTTCAGGATGGGGCAGCATTTCTTCTTAGCTGAGCACAGGACTGGGGACTCCAAGATGGCAAAACCTGAGTAGGAAAAGAGTGGAATGGTCAGGCCTAAAGTAGATTGAGGACCTAGGAGGAAGGGAAAGACCTACTCAGGAAAGACTGTCGTTGTGGCTATTTCCAACATAGTGGAGCTTAATGAATGTTTGAACTGAATAGACCATATGTCTCTATTTTGCTTACTGAATTTCTGCCTCATTCAGTCTCCACATTGCTGTTGCTTGTTTGTTTCTTTTAATTACTCTTCTCCTAGCTGTTGGACTTCTCTCACTGTGGGACTTCACTCATATTTTTCCCTCTCCCATTAATTTCCAACCTGGGTCAGAACTAAAAAGTTAGAGGATGGAGTGGGTGCTGGGGGAAGGGTTTCTTTCTCCTTCACTCACCATCTCCTTTAGAGCTATAAGCCCCGGGAGCTGCTCCACGGCCTGTCCCGGTTTCCCTTGGATCTCATTTGCTCTTGTACAGCACCTGTCTGTGAGGAAAAGGCATCTTAGATAATCATATTAACCCTTCTGTGCCTCAACTCCCCACACAGATAGCTGTTGTGCCTGGAAAGGAGATATCTCAAGCTTCCCTTGCTATTTTATCCCTAGGTCTCCTTAACTATGAAGTAATTTCTCAGATCTCACAGCCTTGCCTCCAGCTATATAGTCTTAGCCTCTCTTCTCTTATTCTGTCCTTCATAAGCATGAAATGTAAGCAAGTATTCCTAATAATATTTTGCATTTGTATAGTGCTTTATATTTTTATAACTATTTTTAAACACTCATTTTATTTGACTTTCAAAACCATGTTTTTGAAATAGGCTTTGGAGAAGTCCTTTTCATAGCTCCCCAGGCAATAGCCTCAGTCTTCAGTACCAGGGAACAGTTCCTGATGAGGTCCCCATTCCAAGCCTTCTTCTTTTCTCTTATTTACCATGGATAGTCCATCTCCAGCCCCCATCTCTCCAGAGCCAATGTGTGTTAGATGAACAAAATTCATAGGTTCTCCAATCATGGTCCTGTCAATCCGCCTTCTCTTCTTCTTCTGCTAGGAAAGGGTGGAGTGATTAAGAGTAAAGACTGTCAGCCAGAGCTAGGAAAGAGGGACAAGATACTAAACAAGATACTCTAGAAAGCAAAGACTCTTTTCTGTCTCTCTCCTTTTTTTTTTTTTTGGTGAAGCAATTGGGGTTAAGTGACTTACCCAGGGTCACAGAGCTAGTAAGTGTTATGTGTCTGAGGCCAGATTTGAACTAAGGTCCTCCTGACTCCAGGGCTGGTGCTCTATCCACTGCACCACCTAGCTGCCCTGAAAGACTCTTTTCTCGATAAGACCATGAAGGAGAGGGGCAGACAAATGTACTAGGGAATGAGACAAGAAATGAAGAAGCACTGTCCTGGGTAGACAGTAATATGGAAGAAAAAGATCTGGCTGTGGTCTATATTGCAGATGCTGAATCAGCTGAAGTCACCGGTCAATGAGGGAACAATGTGGATGGTTGCCTAGCATTGCCCTCTCTCTGTCTACCCAGGACTGGTGGGCAGAGTGGGAGAAATTGGGACCATTAATTTTTTAGCTTTGCTTCATGTACTAGCTGCCTACATGAGATACTATCCTGGCAGAAAAGAAAGTGTGCCTCAAAGAAGACAGCACCTGGACAGTGTGTATAGTATAAGGTATATTACCTCTTGTGTGACAGGGGTGGGGTAAGGGAGGGAGAAGGGGAAAGACTCACCGGCTGGGGTTTCTCTACCACGCAGCAGCCCAATTTGTGCCAAAACTCACTCATGTTCCCTGATGATTCCAGTTTTGTCCCCCTGCCCGAGGCCCCAGAGGGCTCCTTTTCTGGTCCCTTGGTCTTCCTTCTTTAGAGACCCCCTCTTCACCCTTATTCTCCTCTGGGGATTGATGAACAATTCGAATGAGTCAGATGGACTTGGGAGGGTAGAATCCTAAGAACCTTCAACTAGTCAGTGCCTCAGACCATGGGAGACTAGGAAGGAAGAGAAGAGAGTAGGACATATGGGGCAGAAAGCTGTTATCTTCCTCAAAATTTGGAGACCTGGAAGAGAGGAGAAGAAGGCAAGGTTAGCAAGAACACTGTCCTCTTGAGGACCCCTTATTCCAAGGCCAAAAGCTTCCCAACCTCCTCATATCCTTCCCCCTCCACATTCCAACACTAACTACTGTTTTCCCACTTCAGGGCTTATGTGCTTCATAACCCTCAGGTAAAGACGTGGCAGTGATGGAAAGGAAAGGGCATTAAAAGGCTGAAGGGCAGAAACCTGGGGTGCTGGGGGAGAGATAAAAGGAGGTGGGGACCAATGATGAGGAGAACAGAGCTAATCTAGGTTGGGGAATGTTGCAAGCTTCAGCTTGCTCTTCCTGAGGTGGGGGCGGAAGAGGAGGGGCAGATAAATAACTTAGAAGTGAAGAGGAAATAGTGGTTTCTTTTCACCAACAGGGCCCCTAACCCTAACAAGCTTCCTTCCCTACCAATACTATTTCTGCTCTATCTTGTCCCTCCTCATAACTTTGCCCCTCTCCCCTCACCCCCCTATCACTTAGATTTCTATATAAACAAACCAGGCCTTGTTTAAGAGACTTAGACTACAGCAAGAGAGATGACAAGCAGACTTCAGAGAAGGCTTCCTAACAAATTAGACTTCTTCCCTTATTTACTGCCTTTGCTCATCCTTCAATTTTCTCCAACTAAAGTATTTCCCTATTAGCCAGAGAATTTTAAAAAAATCATCCTGACAGTTAAATTCTTCCACAATCTGATGTTAACCTATCTTTCCTGCTTTATCTCATACTACTCTCTTTTTTTTTTTGCATTCTATACTCCAGTCCAACACAGGCCTATTTATTGGCTGTTGTCCAGTCTTATTATGTAGCTTTTCATCTTCCTACATTAGGGTAGGACAACCCCCATGCTTAGAACTTACTCCCTTCTCATCTCTGCCTGATGAAATCTTTCTCTTCAGGGCCTGACTCAAGTGCCATGGCCTCCACGAAATCTTTGATTCCTCCAGATAAACATGATCACTCCCTGTTTAGACTTTCTTGGAGCACTTTGTCCAGGGATTCCCCTGCCTCATCATATTCTACCTTGTGTCATACTAACTTATCATGTTTGTGCTCTTCCCCCCACCCCCAATTAGATTTTAAACTCCTTGAGGGAAGACAATTTTATGGTTTATCTTTGTATTCCAGAGCCTAGCATGACACCTTGAACATAGTTGATACAATAAATGTTTGATAAATTGAAAGTATTTCCTCCCTCTTTTCCCCAGGGACACTTTGGCATAATTCCTCCATTACCTGACCTTGAAAGATAGAGTCAAGTATGTGTGTGTATACGTATCTACCTTTTGTATCTATGTTCTATACCTGTTTGTATGTATTTTGTATGACCATGTTTCACTGTCTAGATGGTATGTAGATATCTGTGTGTCCCAGGGCAAGGTTTTAAGGTTTTAAGCTCAGTCTCTCCATCCCTTTTTTGTTCAATGCTCTATTTTGTGTCCACAAGACCCCTTCCTCTCCCCAGTCTTGACCCATTCTGCTCCTCTCCACAACCACCCTCAGCTGCTTCACCACCCCGCCAAGCACCCTCAACAATCAAATGCTTAACACCTGACTAAAAGACAGCCATTGCTATTTAAAGTGCTTAATGATCTTCAGTATCTGTAATATCAGGACATTTCAGTTTAACATTTGTTACAATTCATTTATTCAATACGAACTTACTAAGTGTCTCCTAGATGCCAAGCACTTATGCTAGGCACCGGAGACACAAAGATGGAAAAATAACAGTACTTCCCATCAAGTAATTACAATCTATTAGGTATGACACAAAACACAGTATGACTATATCTCTACTGACCTCCAGAAGCTTCAGTGTCTCCCTGTTGCCTCTAGAACAAAAGATGAACTCTCGTTTGGCCTTTAAAGCCCTTTCCAACGTGACTTCCACATATCTTTTGAGACCCATTCCATATTACCCCCTTTCCTAGATTCTACAATCCAGCCAAATCGGTCTCCTCGGAACATGTTCTCTGTATACTATATTCCATCTCCTGTCTCAATCTCGGTCTTCCCTTTCTCCTCTTGAAATTCTAAGTCTATTACATGAGGATTTTCTTGGTTTTCTTTGTTGCTGATCTATACTCAAGCCTTGCCTCAAAATTATCTTGTATTTCCTTCGCATAGATTTTGCATTTACTTATATGTGATACGTTGTTTTCCCTCAGTAGAATACATGCTCCTCAAAGGCATGGACTGTTCCATTTTTCTCTTTATATATCTCCTGTACTTAGCAGTGTTGGCACATAGGCGATTACTAAATTCTTACTGAATTAAATTGAGTAAGAGCAAAGGACAGATAATATTGACATTAATATATTGAATGAGGGTTTAACAAAGTACTTTCCTCATAGTAGCCCTGGGAGATACAGAATACAAGTATTATTATCTCCCTTTTTCTTAGCAGAAAAGGGGAGTCTGAGTGGACCAGGAAAGGTTTGATGCAGGGAGAAGGGGCCTTCAAGGGAGAGCATTTCAAATGGAGGAGATGAGAAGGAGGGAAGGCACTCTTAGCATGAGGAATGACCTGAGTGATGATGGCACAGAGGCAGGAGATGTCACATCTTGTTTTTCTCAAGTCATTGCTCTAATCTGGATCCAAGAAGGAAGGTGAACCTCTATATTCCAAATTAAGTCCATTTTATGCACGTATTCATCAAAATACATATTGCCAATTCTTTTGATTAAATAAACATTTATTAGGGACCTACTAGGCCCAAGTTGTCCTGACATACAATTAGCATTAGAATTTCAGATACCCAAGGTAAGCAGCATTGGATTTGGAAGCTGGTAGAAACCAAGGTGAGAATCCTGATTTTCATGCTTACTAGCTGTGTAAACATGAGCAAATCACTTAATCTCACGAAGGCCATCTCCTGATCTGTAAACTGGGAATAATAATACATATACTACCTATTCCTACAAGGTTACAAGAAAAGGACTTTTTAACCTTAAAGCTTATATGTGAGTATTTCATTTATTATACCTAGGGACTTCCCTCCCCCTTAGCCTGGCTCTTGGACACTCCCCCTATTGAGAAGGCAAGAGATTTTAACAGCAGTGAAATGGGAACATAAATATATTGGAAACTGAGTGGAGACACGAAGGAGAAGAGAACAGTAGCTGAGGTTTCCTCTCCTACTGCTGAAGAAGGACCAGACAAAGGACATAAGCTAGGACAGACAAACATGGGTTTGGGGATGGGGGAGGGAGGGGGAACCTGTGGTCTGTTGGGCAGTCAGTCATAGGATTTGTCTCAGTGGTAACAGTGGGTAGAAGAGGTCAAGGGGGAAATGGAGAAAACAATGAAGAATCAGAGGAAACTCCCCCCCCCCATCCAAGGCAGGCTATGTTAAGACTGGGCTCTCCCGGGAAGCTGAGTGGACAGAGGTAAAGTAGGGGGTGGTGGCAGAGGGAACAAGGATCCTTCTGTTCCTTCTTCCAGGGACCTGGCCAGAGCTGGGGGGAGGGAAAGTGGGGACTTGGCACCAACGGACGAATGATGCTAAGAAGTGACCAGGAAATTCTGTTCTTCAAGACTGTAGAATCTTGAAGCTACTGAGGTTCAAAGGAGAAACTTCATGACCCTGCCTCTCCCTGCCCCCTCCAGCCCAGGTGGCCATCTTGTGTAGAAGTGGGGATCTGGGGAGGTCAGGCCCGGGTGACTGTGGTGGGGGGAAGGAGAACAACATCAGAGCAGAAAAGGAAGCAGGCAGTCTTCGAGAGCTATGGCGGCTAGCAAAGGGTGGGCCTCTGGAGAGAATGGAGCCCAAGGCTGGAGAGCTCCAGAGGCGGAGTCTCTAGGCTTTCCCCATCCATACAGAGGGAGAGGGGGAGTGGCTGAGAACCCAGCTAGAAGGATGGGGGTTCGATTCTAGAAGGGGACTTCTAGATTGTCAAGGACACCTCCAAATCTTCATTTGTTCTCGAAGAGAAAAAGTGAAACGTAGAAGCAAGACAACCTCTTCTGCTCAAGGTCACAGGGCACTAAGGAGCCGAGAGATTTCTCTCCTTCATGTGAAAAGAAAAAGCTGTGGCAGCCTAGCCAACTTTTATCCTAGGAATTCAAGACCCAAGGTGATTTCACTCTCTAGTCCCCCAAACTTTGAGATCCACAGCCCAGGGTTGATGGGGTTGAGATTTTATGGGAAAAGAAACCTAGAGGGAGGCAGGAGGCACTCTGTTCCCTGATCCTACGCTGGCCCCAAACCGGTTTTCCCGGTCCCACGGCCTCCCAGCACCCGGCCTCCGGCTTGCTCCCGCTGCCTGACAAGCCTTCACAAGAAGCAGCTGGAGAGAAAGAGAAAGGAAAAGGGGGGGGAGAGAAAGGGGAAGCTCTGGCTCTGAGTACACCACCTCCACCTCTTCCTGGAGGGGCTCTAGGATAAAGCGGGGGTGAAGGGCCAAGGATGGGGGACAGGATCCCAGGTGAATTTCAGTCACATGACAGGCTCAAGCAAGATCTAGCCCACCCCCAATCGCACCTAGTTTGGGGGTTGGTGGCAGCACTGTACCCCACCCCAGGCCTCCTGGAGGGATCCCCAATAAACAGAATCCTGCTGCTCCCCCAAGCTCCATTCCTGACCCATAGACCCAGCATTCCCAGAAGCCCTTCTCGGGGAGGGACATTCTCTTTTCTGTAAGCCTCTCACTGGCCTGTGGCTTGAAACTTGTAGGCGGAAGTCCACCATCCTCCTCCTCAGCGGCTGCTCCCCTTTACCTTGCTTAGACTTTATCCAAGCTTCCCCCACCCAAGTCCCTGATCTAAATCCCCCACCGGAATCCCAGCCTTAGTTGGGCTGGGGGGAGTTCCTCCCCACCCCCACTTCTTCAACCTTGACTCCCCGTTCTCCCCTGCTCTGGTATTTTGGTTGCTCTAACTGTAAGGAACCAACAGACCTAGGTTTGGAGAGTTCTTCTTGGGGGGAGCCAAGTAAATGGGGGGGGTTCCTCCTCCCCCAAACCCCTGCCACCTCGAATCCAGCCAGTCTCAGACTCTTTTCCCACCAGCATCCGGTGGCCCTCCTTCCCACCCCTCCCTCCATAGAGTGGACAAAAGACCAGAGATGTCCAAGTCCCGACTCTCTGACCTGCCTTTCCCGGGGATTGAAATGTTTGGTGGTGATATTGAGGGGCTTCTTGGCTCCAGGTCTGGGTCCTCCCGTCAGGGACTTCAAGGTTTTCTCTTCTAGGCGGTGTGGGGGAACTGAGGGCGGGCCTGGAGAGAGGTGGGGCTGGCTGATGGCGGAAACGGTAGCAACTCGATTACGAAATCCGCCTTTCTACAGCCAGGCCCGCAGCTCCCACTCTGGACAGATTGGGGAATGCATGGCTGAGAGATGAGGGGGCAGTTCTGGGTGCCAGCCCACCCAGTTGTGCAAAACCAAGAGGGCTGGAGAGCCCAAGTGGGCCTGCTTCTTACCCTCCTGGCAGGGGGGGCGGAGGAGAAAGTGGTGATCCCCTGACTTACACTTACGTGTTTGTTCTTCACTGAAGGTCAACAGGAACATTTCTGCCCTTTCAGCAGGCAGGCAGATTAAACATTAGAGACTTCATGGATCACAGACCTACTTATTCCCTCTGTGTCTCCTCTCCAAGCCTCTTCTGTGCCCTTCTCCAAGAGGAATAGGTATAGGTTTCTTTTTGGATGGTCCTCCCAGCTTGGGTTTGTGTGAGAAGGGGATTCTGAGAGATGACAATGTTGAAAAAGAGTCAAGGATTTCTCTAATTCTCAAAGTGATTTCAAGGTCTGGGTTACTTGAAGTTGGGGGAGGGAGGAATACCCCTTTTACCCTCTACCCTTGCTGCAATGTAGACATTTTAATTCATAAACCTAAAAATAAATCAAAGAATGAGAAACTGGTTACTCATGCACTATTAGCAGATGTCTGGAAGAAATGGGAGTTAATTAACATATTGTGACTGGACCTCCAGCAGGCCTATCTTCTTTCTTCCCCTAGAAGGGATAGGCCCTAGAATCATTGAGAATTAGCAGAGTCACAGGCCCAGGCAGGGAGGGGGAGGGGAGCGGGGGAGTCCTTCCGCCCCTTTAGGAGGGGCTGCATTGCAGGGGGAGACTGACTAGACAGTGAGACAGACTCACAATCAGAGAGAGAAAGGCGTGAAAGCAAGGCAGACAAAGCTTCAACCGCAACCTTCTCTTTATCCATCAGCCCCAAGCCTCCTGAAGACACATTCGTGGAACCCACAAACTGTTGGTGATTGGTAAGCTGAGCTGAGGGAGAAAGGCAGTTAGGGCTAACAGGGAGGCAGCTTGTTTTGCAGGGATTGACCATGGGTTGGACAGGAGATTCACCGGGAGGACGGAAAAGGCAAAAAAGGGCGAGTTCTAAATAATAGGTGGTCAGTTGAAAGAATTACTCTATCATATTTATTTGTGTATTTATTTTCACATCTATTTGCATATCTCTAGCTATAGATATATTTACCTATATATTTAATAACCTTTCCAAATCTTATTTCTAGCTGTTTGTGTGTGTGAATATATATATATATATATAATATATATATATACTCTTATAATTTATCTTAAATATGTAATAACATCTGTGTTGATATATTTATCTTTCAGTCTATTGATAAATCTTCATTATTACTCGTCTATCTTCCTCAATTAAAAAAAAATCCTTTTAGTATTTCTCTGATGTGTTTACCCATTCCATGAAAACCTAGGAAGGATTTATAGAAGGAAGTGTGTAGGAATAGCTTCCAGTCCTCTGGACATCAGTCTTCCCTTGATCTAATCTTTCTCTATACAGAAGAGGCAGAAGTAGAGAAGGTGAGGCCTTCTGTGGTAGGGAGCTGTCCTACAATATCATTTGAATTCAATGCAGCATACAAGAGCAGGGAGAGGGAGTCAGTTTCTGGGGAATCGTATGTTCGCAGCTTAGAGGTCTGGAAGGTCCAGCGAAAAGGATTGGGGACAGGATGGGATATTTGTAATAGAAGGGTTCCCATTACTTTTCCTTCATGAGTAACATCATGACACAGACCCTGGGAGGTAAATGAAGTAGGATACCCATAAGGTCTTAATAAGGTTTGATGTGACCAAGGCTTTGTGTGGCTGTGAATCCACGGGTGTGTCTCTGTCTTTGTATTTCTATATTCCTATATCTCCTCTCTCCCGATATCTGATAATCTCTGCCTGCATCAACACGTGAAATTATCCAGATAATTGAGGGCAAGATATGTTTTTGCTTGAAATTCTAGATAACTGAAAATAAAGGCTTATAGCTTCTGTCCTAGCAGTGCTTAGGGTACAAGGGCATTTGGTGGAGTAAAGAAAGGCTTTTACCATATTTTGTTTAGAATTTCGAAAGGAATTAAAATGTATACCATTGTTATGAAGGGAATTTTAACCATCACTCATTCAGAGAAACTTTATATGTAGACCTAATTTCTCTGTTGTAAATTACTACCTATTTATTTAGATCTTTGTATGTGTCTCTATCTCTGTATGAGCTTCTGGGTTAATGACATATCTAGATTTAGATCCTAAGCAAATATTTTTAAAAAGATGTTTTGCTTGACTTAATTGCAAAAAGAAAAATTAGATTTCCTTCTCTGCCTACTGTGTAAGGACTATTCAGTCAACCTTTTTACATCAGAGGAATGGAAAATGGAGGCAGCTCTTATGATCTATTTCTTGTTCTTTACGGTCTTTTACATTTTCCCCATGTATACAGGATATTTTAACACTCAGAAAAATAAGTTAAGTAGATAGCTCTTGCACGTTTGTAAGTAGAGAGTTTGTATTATCTTGTAATTCCGATCAATAAGTATTAAGAAGCCTATTAGCTTAGTACTGTATTAGGTTTCGTAGCAGATATAGGAGAAGTATAAACTATCAATCCTGTTTTCAAGGAAGCATTGTAGTACAACACTTGGAAAATATGTACTGCAGGTAAGGCTATTTGCTGAACCTGGTACTACTGTTTTGCTTTCTGGGTTTATTTCTTGGGACTTCTTAGCCCCAAGCCTTTGCAGGGTTAAATATATGAAAAGTACATCTTTTTGTACATGTACATATATTTTTTGCAAATATTTTTGAGGTGGAGCAGAGCTGAATATCCCAGGATGATGACCTCACCTTTCCCACATACTTCCCCCACGCTATGCCAGCTCTCCCTGCCTCACCCTCCCTTTTTTCTAAGCAACTTCCATGCTGACTAACGCTCAGCTTGTAGGGTTTATTTTAGAGTTCATGCCTAGTTAAAAAGAGAAAGAGCAACAAGGATCAGTTAACATTTAAAAACCCCTTCCAGCCTTCTTATGCCAAAGACTTCCATAGCCCTATTCTAGCAAAGGACTTTCCCTATAAGACTCCAGTACAGAAATTTCACATTATTTAGGGATTTTTTTCATTATTTAAGACAGAGGCAAAGACTTACAGGTCCAGAGTGATGGTAGGAACTATTGCAAGGAATTATTTTCTACAGCCTAGAAGGCATTTCTTCTCAGGGAGAGGGTTGTGTTCTTGTCCCTTCTGGACATTCTAGGCAATACCTGACACCTCCACTTCAATCTCTCTTTGTTTGCCAGGATTGTACAAAGATAAGAGCAGTTTGTTCTGCTTGGTAGCAGTGTGTGGGTGGGATGAGTCTGGTTAGGGAGGAGAGTGATGGGAATTCAATCAGCTTGGAGAAAACTCCATTTAATAACTGAATCTTCTACCCAGGATTTGTAATCATTTGCCTTTACTGCCCTTAACTATTACCTGAAATAAGGGCAAAAGAAATAACAAGGATAAGTTTTTGTGTAGCGGAGGGCAAAGCTGGAAAACTGGACCAGGTATTTAAGACATCAGCTGTGGCCTGACAGATTTGGGGTGTTAATCTACATGTGTACCTTTAAAGTGAAAAGTCAGTTGACATCATTGATTAACCTTTGTGTGCTGAACTCTGTACAACTCTTAGAAGAAAATAGAGAGGTTTGTATCCTGCTCTTAGAAAAAGTCAGAGCTAAATGGAGATATATATTTTTAATAAACACTTTAAAAGACATGAGACCTATGAAATGCAACTAATTTTATATATTACATTCTACACACATAATATAGAACAAACTCTGTATTATACTCTACATGTATAATATGGAACTAATTATATTATATTCTACATACATAATATAGAATTTTAGTCTATAATAGTATAATATATAATAATATATATTATAATATAATATACAATGTAATATTCTTATAGCACTCTATACATGGGTTCTGGGGAAATGCTAGAAGGATAACTATGGAGCCAGAGTTAATTAAAGAAGGTCTCCAGAAGGAGTTGATTCTATCATAGCATTTAGAAGGAAAGAAGGAGCAAAGAGAATGGTAGAGAGGTAGAGGGAAACCCTTTCAAGACAGGGTATAATCTGTTAAAAAAAAAACCCTCAGAGGTAGAAAAAGAAAGGTTTATTTGCCTGTAGTAGTAAATCCAAACCATCCTCATTCATTGAATACTTATGTGCCTAGTATCGCATAGGGAAAGATTCTAAAACCTGGTTCCTACCTTCAAGGATCTTATAATCTAGTTTGGGGGAAATTAACCTGCGACACAATTAGAGAATAATAAATTGTATACCATAAATACAACAAGAGTACACAGAAGAGTGTAGCATGGGGTGACATCTTCATGGATTCTAGCACTGTGTTACAAGAGGACAGGTGTAGAATATCTTGCACTTTTAACAGTGGCAGAATGTTACATACTTTAATAGTGGAGATCACTGTGGTAGAAAGTCTTGCTTAACTTTTTGAGGTTTTTATTATCAAAAGAGGTACTATATGTAAAGTGCCATTATTAAGTGCTTTGCAAACCTTAAAGCACTACATAAATCTTAGCTATAATATAAAGGATGGTACCATGGGAAAAGTGAGAATTACTGGGAAGTATAGAAAACCTTTCAAAGGTTTTTGTTTAAAAGAAAACAGAATATAGATAAGCAGATATTTACTTGTGAGCAAAAGTTCAAGGCAAGGAATGTGAGGAATGATGGTGACAACAATCTGTCAGCAGTGAAGAGTTTGTGGATAGAGGGACCACATTGCTGAGTTGAGTTGATGCTAGAGGGAACCATTCTAAGATGGTTCACTAAGAACAGACTGCAGGTGAAGGATGAAAGGGGGAGGCTTCCTGAAGTCCTCTGATTGGATGGGTGGAGCAGAGGAGCTGTTACTGTATGTTTCTGAGCAGGGGAGGGACAGGAAAACAGGCCAGAAATATCATGGAGACTCTTTGCAGTATGTATATTAATTGGTGATTCCTTCCCAGGGAGTCATGAGGGACCCTGTGAGCAGCCAGTACAGCTCTTTCCTTTTCTGGAGGATGCCCATTCCTGAACTGGACCTGTCCGAGTTGGAGGGCCTGGGACTGCTGGACATGTCCACTTATAAGACCCGAGGCAACAACAGTGGGAAAATGTCTGAAGATGAGCCAAGTGAAGCTGGGCAGAAGAACTGTCCTGAAGGCGATGCCCTACTTGAGTACAGCACCTTCAACTTCTGGAGAGCCCCTATTGCCAGCATCCACTCCTTTGAGTTGGACTTGATTTAAGGCTAAAACCTCTCTCCCTATCACCATTTCTGTACTTTCTCTTTCTTTGGCCCCTTCCTCCCTACACTTCGTTTTAGACCTGCTTTCCCCCTTCATTGTGTTGAGGTGGTGCTAAAAGAATCTGCCATGGAATGGCTATTTATTTATTGTTATTTATTTCCCTCTATATTGTACCCCCACAGGCACCCCTCGTTCCCTACCAAGTCCTTCAAATCACTTCAGAAGAGGTATGGTTCTTCAAACAAAAGGTCCTAGGTACCCAAATTCCTTTCTCTCCTGAGACTAGCTTTAGAAAACAAGTCTGACTGGGGGGCAGGCACAAACCAACCTGCCTCAGAGTCAAAGAGGAGCAGTATAGTAGTGAGAGGTGTGGTAAATTGGTTCTTGACCCCATTGTTACCAGCTTTATAGACAGTTTACCAGCCTTTCCATCTCTACCCCTAGGTCAGTTAGCATGGGTGGCTTTCTCATGAATCACTGAAAATTCTGGGATTTCTTTTTGGGATTGTCTGCTATAAAAAGGTAAAGCCTGTTCCAAACAATAAAGTAACCAAGTGTCTTTCCAGGCAGAGAAGTAAGGGATGAAGACTTAAGCCCTGAGGCAACAGATGTTGAAAAATGGAGCCAAGTGAAAATACTTAAGCAAATTCTTAAATAATTAAAGCCCTTCCCTCCCTTCTATGGAGCTATGTTCTTTCCTCCTCAAGACTTCTCTCTTCCTCAGCTTTGTTCTTAACTGAAGAACATGGGTAGTGATACGGAAAGTTCACTAAGAAAAAAACACAAATCTCAAACTTTTAACATGTTATTTTTTGCTGTTTATGACAGTCCCACGTTGTTGGGAGCAGGTCCTTAAGCCTGTTTTGTTCTTAGCTCCATCCTGTAACCTACAGTCTCAAAGGACCTCAGCTTTAACCCCTTTAGAAATTACCAGCCCAGCAGTCTCTAATGGTTCAGGTACCTTGAGGGCATAAAATGAGATGATCAATACCTTCTTCACATCCTGACACTCTTTACCATACTATCTTTGAGAGTTCTCCACTCTTTCCCCGTTATTTGTGCTGATAATTCCTCACTCTCATCTAATAAAGCTGTTTAATCCCATGCTTGAATTTCATGTTACTTTCTCTTTGTTCATAGGGAAGCGGCTGGTGCTTTAGGATTTTGTTTCCTAATTGTACAGCGTTATTCATTTTAGCCTTATCTCTTTGGGGGAGGTGGGGCTGGGTACAAAGAAATGAACACTCTTTTACCAAAAAAGGTGGAGGTCCAAGTATATGACGAAAGAAATGATGAAAACTGGAGTTTAGAGAATTTGGTTTGCTCCAATTTTATGTGCCTCTCTTCCACTAGTTTGCTCTGAACCTAGCACAGTCCCCACCAACTGAGAGGCTTAGGTGCAAAGACTTCTTCTAACTAAACATAGAGCAAAAGGGATGGTAGAGGTCATTTACAGAAGTGGAAACAAGGCCAGAGAAGTGACTTGTCATCAAAGCTTTTAAGTGACCCCTACTGCACCAAGATCTTACAGACCCCTTTTAATTCATGTGCCCGATTTCCCCCCCTCCCCCTTTAACCTCATCTCTCAGAGGTGAACTTATCATTTAATAGGTATTAATATCAAATGATGAGTGTCGTGGGACACTTTGGAAAGAGAAGAGAAAGGAGTTAAAGGTTGCCCTTAATTTACAATACGGTTAGAGCAACATGTTATGTAAACTTAAGCTAGCATTCAAGTCACAATGTATTCAACTCCCTAAAGGTACCACAAAGAAGATAAAGCAATTCAAAGAGAGAAATCACTTTCAAATAAGAAAATACACATATTTTTTTTAAGTAACCAAAGGTTACTCTCCACCTTGGGCATTCAAAAAAAGGGAGTGGGACACATAAGTACCTCCACCACCTCTAAGCACTGAAAATGTTTCATTAATATCAATGCCACATTCAAGGAGTGAAATCATTAACGCGGCGATTGTAATAACTTAATCGGACATTTAAGAAGATTGCCTGAAGCGAGTTCTCAAGAAAAAGAATCTTGTGAGGGGGAAAAAAAACCACCTGAGTCAGATAAATAAACTTGCTGGACCCTGGAATTATTGTCTCTGCCTGCCCCGGGTCAGCCCCCTCTGGGTCGGTCAACCGGTCTTAATTCTCCTTTCTTTCCTTGCATCTCCTCCCCCACTTTTCAGTTCCCTTTTAAGCGTCGTTTCCCCCATCCCCCACTAGAATGGAAGCTGCAGGCGGGCAGGTTATGTATGTCTCCCAGCGAGGAGCAGGGTGCCCGGCACACAGTAATTAGATTGATAAAGGCTCACCGCCTTTCGTATTAATGCCGCTAAAAAAATGACCATTTCCACACGGTGGTCATGGCAACGCTCTTGCGTGCTCGAGGTGGAGAGGGGATGACCTTCAAAGGCGCGGGCGCGACCGCGTGACCCCACCGTCATAAACGTCCGTTGGACCCACGCCCCGCCCCCACTCTGGGACGTCAGAGGAGCCGCGGTGCGGTAAGGTCCGGGATTGAGACACCCACATGGCGACCACGGCGCGGGAGGTTTCTCCTCACGGTTTCTTCCCGTTCTTGGCGCCAAAAAAAAAAAAAAAAAAAAAGCCCGGGCCCCGCCCCTTGCCGGGACTTTGTAATACGTGAGCTCACGTAAGAGTGCGCGGCGCTAAAATAGTCCCATTCACCCCAACCTCGGGGTATGTCTGTCGCCCCCAGCAGGCCTCTGGACTCGGAGAATGAGCCCCCGCCCCCCCGCGCCCCTCTCTTCGGCGGGGACGGGGATGTCTTTGATCGTTTCCCACAGCAGATTCTTCCGCCGGAGACGATTCCCCGGCGGCCCCAGCACTTCCGGGACCGCCATTTTGTCTCCTCCATTTCTCCACGAGGGGGGGGTTAAAGGGCCCCCCCACCCAATATGCATGTATGAAAAAGTCGAAAAAAGTTGCTCCTGCCGACGGGGCGTCCGACTCAGGGGAAAAAAGGGGAGCAAACTGGCGGGCGCGGAGGGAGCAGGGTCGGCGGCGCCCCCGACGCAGCGGTGAGTCCCCGGGAAGGGGGTGGGGAGGGGGGGTACCCGCGCCCCCTCGCCCCCTCGTGGCCCCGGAAGCCGAGTGCTCGAGCGCGGCCGCGGGAGCCGGAGCGCCGGGGGGAGCCCCCGGAGGGGCCCGGAGGAAGGGGTTGGAGTCGGGAGGAAGGGGAGGGGTCTGGGAGAGGGCGGGGAGCACCGGGGCCGGTGCCCAGGCTCGGCCGCGGGGGGCGCCGGTGAGGCCGCTAGGGGGCCCCACGTGTGCGCCCCGCGATCGCGAGGCATGGTCCCCGGCCCTGGCGCGGTGCCGCGGACGTCGCGGCTTGCCCGGCTCCCTCGTCCTTCCCGGGGCCTCGCGTAGGCTCGCGCCCGACACACAAGCATCCTACGTTCACCTTCATTTCACGCATCACTCGGACCCTTCCGTTGCGTGGGGGGTCGGCCGCGTTCCTTCGGGGAGCTCGGGGGTCTCCGTCCCGGTCCAGGGCTGACATCGGCATGCAATGCCAGAGCAAAGTTGGGACCCCCTGCATCAGTCACCCAACAAAGTGCTGTCGTCTTACAAATGCAGTTTATTTTTTTCCTTAGGGTTCAGGCGATAGAATTAGCAGGGAAAAGCTCTTCAGTGAGAGTTGAGGCTTCAGAATACCAGCCCACTGTAAGAATACACGTATTTTAAATGTGTGCGGTGGCGACTACATCACTTACAGCCCTTCCTTGGTTTCTGTCCCTGAGATGCTAGAAAATAAAACTGTTCTTGGCCTTCTTCGAGAATTAATGTTAACCTCAGTTTCAGTTTAGCGATGTCACCCCCCCACCACTTTTTCCTCTCCTGCCTCAAAATGAGATTGAAGACACTTGATAACATTGAGTGGTTAAGCACAGAAAACACAGATGGGGAAAACTCACAGCCCCACCGAAACCTGGAGTTGGTTTTTTTTTTTTTTTGAAAAACACTCGACAAAGAGTTGTGATGGTGATAGCAACGGAAGTGTGATATGCTGAACTTGAAGGAGGCAGGTTTTTCAGAGCTGTTGAAGAAATTTATATTTACGTTCTATAGCTGCTCCCCTAGAAAATTGGAGTCTTTTTGGTTGTTTTAAGGAAAGTCAACATCATTCCATCTGCAGATAAAGAGTTTTCATACTAGTATTTCTGTACTTTATTGCTTAGTTCATTCATTCCTCCTTGTTCTGGGAGCAATTTTTGTAGGGGTGATCAAGGAGTGTAAAATTTGTATCTTATAAATAGATTTTTGAAAATACTTTTCTGCAGGGAACTAGCTTGAGTAGTTAAATGGAGCTTTTGACTGATAAAGCACTTGAAAAGCTGCATTTAATTTTAAATTTGTAGGCAAAAAACACTAAGCAGAGTCTCCTTTGTGCCATTTGATATACAAAGGCAAAACCTTTAGGGAGGCAACGTGGCAGGCTGAGAAAAGTACATTTGGAGTCTGGCGGACCTGGGATGTAGTACTGTGTCTTTCAATTAGACGATGGCAGTGCCACTTAGCCTCTCTCAGACTGAGTTTCTTGATCTGTAAGATGGGGGTACACCATTTAAGAAGGCTGCCCTAAGGAAAGATATTTTTTAACCTCAGCACTGTGGAAACTTAAGCTGTTATGATTTATTCCCTTCTGAGAATTGAAACCTTGATCATGATAATCTTATGTTATATAAATGGAGAAATTGAGTCATGGAGTGATAGCACAATTGGCCTACGATAAGATGGAGATCAGGCCTGAAATTGTTATTTGCCTTCTCTGGGCCTGTGCCCTCACACTCCTGTGATGGGAGGGACCCAGGTTAAACTGGTTTGATTTAGAGACCCTGTGCTTTGTATTCCGTTGTGTTGCATGCTCACCCCAAGTCCCTCCAGTGCTAAGATAGGGGCTTCTAACATGAACTCCTAAATTTCGTCAAGCAGTGGTTTGTAATAGGAGGTTTTTACACAGCCAAGCATTCTCCATGCCCTCTGGAGATCATAAGCACTATGCAGTGTGTCCCAAAACACTTAGAGCAGTTTTAAACTTTTAAAGCCTAAAACCTGCAGGGAGACTTTTGGAACACCCTGTATAACCTGCACAATACTTTGTATTGTTTTTCTTGAAATGATGTTTGGCAGTGGCAGGTTGCTTTATTAACTGACACCCAGAACAAGAAAATGGACTTGGGATCATTTCATTGTAGCATTTTGTATTTGCCACAGCATTTTTTTGAAGGCTGAAAGTGAAGGCCTGTTGGTTAGGATGTGTGCATCTCCCAGAGAGCTCATAACTTGTGTCACACAAAGTAGAAATCAGAAGGTAAGCTGCTAATAGCTCAGCCAAGAGAGTCTTAGAAAGCATTTTCATTAACACTATTCTTTTGGGGGTTACAGCTTCCTGAAAATACTTGTTCTTATGCATAAAGATGTCTTTGGTGGACCTGGGGAAGAGGTTGCTAGAAGCAGCAAGAAAAGGACAAGATGATGAAGTGAGGACTTTGATGGCCAATGGTGCCCCTTTTACTACGGATTGGGTAAGTTTAGGGGAGAGAACATCTTTCTAAGCTGCCTGAAGCAGACACCATCAAGTCATGTGTTTACCATCAAGGGAAGTAAAGAAGGGGATGAATCCTAAATTGGGAAGGCTCCTCAGAAGTTATTGAGGCCAACCCTTACATGAGACAGAAACTTAATCTACAGCATCCCCTGATTTAAGCTGGATTTCATCTAGTCTCTGTTTTAAGACCTGTAGTGATGGAGAAATTCATTCCCCACCAAGACTGTTCATTCTGTTTTTGGACAACAGTGGTTGTTAGGAAGTTTTACTTTACGTGCTGCCCTGTAACTTCTGCCTGTTCCACCCATTAGTCCTTCAGCTTGACACAAAACAGGACAAGGCTGTGGAGTATTTTTCTAGAGAACTGAGGAATCCTGGGAATATCAGTGGGGGGCGGGACACAGACAGAATGTAGCCTGCACTCTGTGTTTGTGGTGATCTGTGATTCAGAGAAGATGAAAAAGGATTTCACTGGGCTCTTCTTACCTGGGGACCTTATTTTGGTGCTTTATTCTCACTGCTTCAGGTTTTGTGCCTTTTGTTATACCTGAAGACATGATTAGTGTGCTATTTTTTTACTCTATGATTTTCCAAATTGGATCTTATGGATGTATTGGTGGTGGTTGAGATACATGTGTTTCTGAAATGGTTTTGAGTGTGTCTTCTAAAGATTTAGTTTTCTTTTGGGTGTATTTGTGTGTATTAGTAGGGCAGCTAGATGGCATTGTGAATAGAGCGTTAGGCCTGGAGTCAGGAAGAGCTGAGTTCAAATCATCCTCAGACACCTACTAGTTGTATGACCCTGGGCAAGTCACTTACCCCAGTTTGCCTCAGTTTCCTCGTCTGTCACATAAGCTGGAGAAGGAAATGGCAAATCACTCCGGTATCTTTGCCAAGAAAACCACAGATGCGGTCATGAAGAATCGGACATGACTGAAACCCCAGAATGACTGAACAGCAGTACTTGCGTTGGAAGCATTTGTAATTACCTGAAATTCAACAGAATCAGTACAATGAGAATGAATTCTTAAAGAAATAAACCTCTTGGCTCTCTTTTCACCATTGCGTTCTGGTCAGTAGAAATTTTCTAGCCTTTTCGATTTCCTTTGCCAGTGTTTTAACAATTAAAGAGAAAGATGTAATTTCCTGAGACTTAAAAGCCAGCTTTGGGAGCAGAGATCCAGGCCATAATATTCTTGAGCTTGAGGTTCCTCAGACTTTCTGGGTTTTAACTGTTTGGTGAAGGAGCTTATTTCATAGCCTCGGGGCCAGCTGCTCTTCCATGAGAGGAAGAACAAAAAGAGAACCTGTGAAATGAACATTTCTGTAAATAGATCTGGAGAAGAGCAATGTGAATTAAACCCAGTTATGCATATGACAAGGAAAATGAAAATGTGAGATGCTGAGAGTGAAAGGAGCTTAAAATAGAGAGCACTAGACCTTGAGGGATAGCCTCTGTTCAGATTGCAGAGCAGAGTATTGGTAACTCAAGTAGGATCTGGCCCTGGGTGAGAAATAATTGTTTTTTTTGCCATTGGCAGGTCATAACTAACACCGTTCTACTGCACACTCCTGCCCTTGCTTCCAGTCCTGTAACCTCATTTTATGTTGCCTCCCAGACCCACTAATTTAGGCAGAGTTATTCCTATTAAGATGCATTATAGAATTCTAGATTCCTGTTCTTCAATAAGACTTTTACATATAACTTGCTAGTCCCTGTTTCTCTCTTCTAATTCTTTTACCAGTTCATAGTACTCATTTGCTTTCAGACCTGCACAAGGGTCAGTTCTTCTAGGAAACTTTCCCTGATTTTATTCTACCTGATGGTTCAGTTTTTATTTATTTATTTTTTAAATGACCAGTCTCTTTTGTTTTAACCACTTTTGTTTCTGAATATATCCCTTCCCCCATAAGACATTAACAAGGAATAAAAGAAAAGAAAAAAAAAGAAACAGTTCAAATTTAACTAACACATCAGTTGGGTCTGACAGTATTTGTGATGTCCATACCCATAGTCCTCTACCTCTGCAGAGAAGGGCTGATTAGTTTTACTCTTTTCACCTAAGCACTTGGCTGGCAATCAGCTGGCAATATATTAGTTCATGTTTACTGATGGGCTGCTTTGAAAGTGACCTGACTTCTCGTCCAGGTTGTAAGCTTCAGTAGGACATAGGTGCCTGGGCTCACTGTCTTTATATATCCTCCATAGTGTCAATCCAGGATGTGCACACATTCAATGGGTGTTATTTCTCCACAGCTTGGAACATCACCTCTCCACCTCGCAGCCCAGTATGGTCATTATTCCACAGCGGAAGTGCTCCTGAGAGCAGGGGTTAGCAGGGATGCCAGGACTAAGGTAGACAGAACTCCTTTGCATATGGCTGCGGCGGACGGACATGCACATATCGTGGAGCTGCTTGTCCGGGTAAAGCGAGACGTGGTTGGGTTGAGTCATACGTAAATGAGAAACATTACTGTAACTCGAAAGCAGGCCTGCAGAGGCTTACCCAGCACTCTGATTCACTTGCCTGAATGGGCAGGTGGGAACTGTGGGCAGAGAGAAATTGGGTGGAAAGGCAAGGCTCCTGGGGCAGGAGAACTGATCTTTCTCAAGGGTAACAGTGGTTGAGAGAAGTCAGCCTCCTTACACTCTTAAAACATAGAATAATAAGCAGGTGGTCCCTGGTTGCTTTTCAGGCATTTAGATTTCATTATGTATATATAGTGAGACAAATATGTGTTCTTTTTTGTCTTACTGAGAAATACTGCTCCCCTGTCAGTTCCAGTTCCTCAGTACTGTCCTTGAAAGGACCTGTGCCCAGTCTGTGTAGCATGTTTATCAGCATTGAGAGAGAGAATTTGGAGGTGTTCTTCTTCTAAGTTTACTTAAGCATGATCGAAATTGGAGTATATATATAATTCTCCAGTAATCCTTCAAATTTTGTGATGGGAACTTATACCTACTGCCCTGTATCTGTCATCTGAGGGAAAATTTGGTTTTTTTTGTGACAGAATGGTGCAGATGTGAATGCCAAGGACATGCTGAAAATGACTGCTTTGCATTGGGCCACAGAACACCATCATCGTGATGTGGTGGAGCTGCTGATCAAGTATGGAGCTGATGTCCATGCCTTCAGCAAATTTGATAAATCTGCTTTTGACATAGCTCTGGAGAAGAACAACCCAGAGATTCTTGTCATTCTCCAGGTGTGTGGCTACTGTACTTAACTGTCATTTCCCTAGATGCTAGTCAAACGAGTCGAAATTTATTATGGAGACTATTCAGAATTGAATTTTCCCAGCCCTTTCAAAGTAATACTTTAAAAAATCCCTTTAAATATGGGGGGTGGGGTGGGGGAGGGGTGTCTGTAGCATGCTCTGTAGTCAATTCAGTTTTTATTTTTCAAAGAGAATAATGGTGTGGGGAGTCAACAAATAATTTATATTTATTTGGTTTTGGAATATGCTGTGTTGTTTCCATCCAAGAGGTTTGCCTTTCCAGTTACATTTGACTGAGGCAAATCTTTAAATGTCATTGTGTGTTTTCTGAATGTCTATTAGTTGGTAAGGGAGGCTGTCCCATAATCAGGCTTGGAATGATAAGGAAGGCTGAAATCTGAAGTTTAGTTGTAGACAATTCATGTGTAGGTAGTTAAGTTGACTGTATATGAGAAATAGATGTAACTTTTTATTCCTTTTGTGTCTGTTTTCCCAAGAAGTAGTTCCCTACAGACTTGTTGCCCTGTTCAACTCTCAGTTCCGTATTTAAACTTCCTTACGTAACAGGGATTTTTTTAGCCCTGAGCATGTTTGTGGAAAACTGCTTCTGATAATATAGAATCTAAAGGGAGGTCATGTTTGCTTCAGTTGTATGGGAACTAGACTTCAAAAGGTCATGTTCCAATTGTGAGAGTCATTTGCTGAGCTGGTGCATACTTTCACATTTCTTCCTAGGAAAAGTGGAGTGCATTGTTGTTCCAAACTTAGGAGGTGATTCCTGACTGTATGGAGGCAGATTAGCATACTGATCATATAAATTGGGGGCCAGAAGACTTAGTAGAGGTTTAGTCTAGCCCCTTCATTAGGGAAGGTAAGAAACAACAAAGTTAAGTGGTTTACCTGTCTTCAGAGTTTTTGAACATGATAGCACTTTATTTTTCTAAGACATAAACAACCTTGAAAAAATAGCTTACTGTCTCTGTTTCTTTTGTCTGAGAAAAAAACCCAACAGCCTTAATGTGAACACAGAGCTCCCTGGGACATTTTGTGCGGGAGCTGGTTTTGGATGGTAGAATATTGTCAAGGGAGTTGTTGAGTAACTAGATAACTCAGTCTGTAATAAGCATTCTGACTTTGAAAAGTCATGCCTTGTCTGGCAGGAGGCAATGCAGCACCAGGGGAATGCCCCCCCAGCAACCAGCACCGTGACAGTGGCTGCTCCCTTTATCTTCACATCTGGAGAAGTCGTCAACCTTGCCAGCCTTGTTTCTTCAGCCAGCACCAAAACCACTACAGGTAACAGGCCATTGAGCAAGGGCTGATTGCCATCTGGAAAGTCCATGGGATGCTAGCAGGTTTTCCTTTATACTAGAGAAGCACTGAGTGGTGCCATGATGCATGGAGAGCTGAGCCCAGACTCAGATACTGTGATCCTGGGCAGTTCACTGCACTTCTCAGTCTCCTCAGTTGTAAAACAGGAATAACAACAGCACCCACCTCACAGGGTTGTTGTGAGGATCAAATGAGAAAATGTTTGTAAAGTGCTGAGCACAGTACCTGGCATGTAGTAGGTATTATAAGTTATCATCATCATTGTCATCTCTGTAAATAGGATAAATAGGAAGAGATTTCTTAATAGGTCACATTTGTGTTTCCACCCGTATTCCTGTTTCTGGGAATATGGCATAGAGAATAAAAGCAGGGCGGTATAGGGAAAGGAGCTCTATATTGGGAGTCGGGACCTGTGTTCAAAGTCAGCCTAGGTCATTTACGCTGTATGTGACTTTGGGAAATTTACTTCACCTCTCTGGGTCTGTTTCCTTATTTAAAATTGGACTAGTTGATCTCTGTGGTCACTTCTAACTCTAAATTCATGGTTCTATGAATATATTTGGGTATTTTTTCTATTTAAAAATGAAGCTTTCTACTGAAGAGCTGTATATAATATGTTAAGTACTATGTTTATCTCTCAAATAAAAGTGGAGAAGTGTTTGTCAGTTGATAACAAGAAAAATAATCGAATATACATGGTCTGGAGGTATAGCAATTATAGAAAAAGAGGAATTGATAAAATTTTCAATCTAGTTGTAATCCTGAAGTTGCTAAAATAGTTACGTGTAAGTTATTTAACTAAAGAAATTAAGAGTGTGTTCTCGCAAGCTGCTCAGAGATGAAGTCTGTAGTGTTTGCAGTCCAGTGCTTCAGCAAGTTTATTTGTCAGTTTTTACAAACATTTGCCTATGCTTTAGAGGAATTGGAGACTTCTCTTTTTTGTTCCGTTGACTTCATCTGACTTGATATTTGACTTTTTAAAATTAATTTATTTTGATTTATCAACAATAATTTCCATAAACTTTTGAGTTTTAAATTTTCTCCCCCTCCCTCCCCACCTTCCTCCCCAAGATGGTGTACAATCTGATATAGGCTCTACAGATACATTCCCATTAAACATATTTTCATATTAGTCATGTTATAAGGAAGAATTAGAACCAGTAGGAGGAACCACAAGAAAAAGGAAACAAAAGAAAACAGAAGGAAAAAAATGGCAAATATTATGCTTTGATCTGCATTCAAACTCCATAGTTCTTTCTGTGAATGTGGATAGCATTTTCCATCATGAGACTTTTGGAATTGTCTTAGATCATTGCATTGCTGAGAAGGGCTAAGTCTATCAAAGTTAGTCATCGTACAACATGGCTGTTACTGTGTACAGTGTTCTCCTGGTTCTGCTCACTTCATTCAGCATCAGTCCATACAAGTCTTTCCAGGTTTTTCTGAAGTCCACTTGCTCATCATTTCTTATAGCACAATGGTATTCTGTTACATTGATGTATCACAACTTGTTCAACCATTCCCCAATTGATGGGCATCCCCGTAATTTCCAATTCTTTGCCACCACAGAAAGAGTTGCTATAAATATTTTTGTAAATGTGGGTCCTTTTCCCATTTTTATGATCTCTTTGGGATATAGCCCTAGAAGTGCTATTGCCTGGGTCAAAGGGTATGCACATTTTTATAGCCCTTTGGACATAGTTCCAAATTGCTCTCAAAAATGGTTGGATCATTTCACAACTCCACCAGTAATGCATTAGTGTTCCAATTTTGATGTTTAACTTTTTTTTAACCCTTAACTCGAAGTTAAAAGGAAGATTCATAATTCTGGAGCAGTTTTCGAAATATTAGAGAAAGAATATAGCACTGCTGTGTTAAGGGGAAAAAATCTTGTTCTCTGTGGATGGTGTAATTGCCTCTTTTCTCTTTATGACCACTAGGGGACAATATTGCTCCTCCTTTTTATAAGCCATAAGCCACCTTTGGCTTCAAATGGATAATTAAAAAAAGTTATTTTTAATGATGCACAGACACAAAAATGCTGCTTATCGGCCACGCTCAAAGACATGACTTTGTATATCCTTTAAATCAAGTTCCATTATTTGGGAATCAAAACCTATGAGGAGTGGGTGTATTTCTGATGTTGTAACTGGCTTGTCCTGCAGACAGACCTGTGGCCTCCATTCTCATGAGCCAGAATCACATTGCTTGCCTGCCATATTTTGGGCAAAAATGCAGCTCTTCGTGGCTCTTTGGTGTAGCAGATTTGAGGTGCTAAGGCCAATCCATAGTTGAAATCATGTCCTTACTCTGGTCTATTGCTCATGAAGCAGTTTGCACGGCAATTCTCTATAGCTTGCTGATCTTCCTGTTGTTTAATACATGTAGAAAAGAGGAAGAGAAAAGAAGTAGGAAAAATTCAGTGTGGGCTATTCAGCTGAAGAGTTTTCCACTTTGGCATTTTAAGTTTCTCAATGTCTCGCTTAAGAGTGTTCCTTTTTCTAAGAAATAGTTGAATTTATACTAGAATATATATCATTTTGGTGTTTGAGATTGCAAGGTTCAAATCCTACCTTTTAAAATCCAGAGCTTTCAGTTATCCATATGTGAATTATCTGCAGTAGTTCAAAAATTCTAGACTTCCGTCCTTATACAACCTGGTATCCTCCAGGCCGTCTAACCTCCAACCATCAGTCAGCTTATAGGTACTCTAGGAAAGTACTAATTAATTTTAAAAATTGACATAGATTTGCTGCCCTTTTAACATAATGCATTCCAAAACTTGATGTAAATAATTTTTGGATCCTCTGATGTTTTGATTTTTCTTTGCTTCTGTTGCGTTTTATAAATGTAGATAACAGAGAGTAGCTTAAATACCTATTGCCAACTAACGCATAATATTTCATCAAGCTGACGCTTAGCTCCATCAAACTTATGATGGAGGCAGCTTGTTGCCTTTGGATTTATAGTAATTACATTAGGATCTGCTCTAATTGTCACTAACATTGAGATTGCCTGGCTGGTGACAGTTAGTTTCCTTTATCCCAAGCCTCTAATTAATCCTGGCCTGGGGCTTTTGATCATACATTTCAAGTTGTAAACAAATAATACAGTTCCCAAACACTTTATGATATTTTTTAATGTTGAGTTATGCCCTCCAGGAGCAAGGAAAGTATAATGTTGAGGAGAAAATATGCTACCTCATCCCAATGCTTCTGGGAGAGGTGTAATATGTCACATGCTTCTTTAGTATATTTGTTAGTTATAATTAGTTTTAAGTATCAGAGACTGTGTGTGTGTGTGTGTGTGTGTGTGTGTGTGTGTGTTTGTGTGTGTATACACACATATATACATATGGAGGACTCCATTTCAGAAAATTTCTGGGTGTGGAAGACCACTTACATAATGGCACTCTGAAGTTGTTTTGTTAATTCATTTCTGTGCTGAAAGGAAATTGGCTGAATGATTGTCTGAACCAAAGTACAAAATCATTCAAAAGTAATGAAGGCTCGTACTTAATACTGTAGTCATAGGGCTTAGGAAAGCAGAGTTCTGGTGAACTGATCACGCCAAGCTGATTTTTCACATGTGTTCTATCCTTACGAGGAACTTAAAGATTAAAGATTCCCTGTTTCCCTCAGCTGAGACGAGGATGGTAAGGTGTTACATTAGGGTTTGCTATGGCTGGCAACCACCAACCAGGAAAGTGCATTAGGGGATGAATAATAGTTGAATCCTGCCCAGCAGGAAATAAGTCCAGATACTCCCCTCCTGGAGGTCAGACAGCCGTATTGACTCCACCCATTTGGCTTCCTGAGCAAGTTCTTTTCTTTGGAATACAGTACTCAGAGAGCTGGGCCTTGAGTCAGGAAGAACCAAGTTCAACTATTGCCTCAGACATGTACTAGATATGAGATCCTGTGAAAGTCACTTAACCTCTGTCTTCCTCAGTTTCCTCTGCTGTAAAGTGGGCATAATAACACCTACCTCTCAGGGTTATTGTGAGGACTAAATGAGACCTTGCTTGTAAAAGGGCTTTACAAACCTTAAATTTAGCCATAGTTAAATGCTAGCAAGTATGTTTTTTAAAAGAATTTTGTTTTTTAAAAAATTCTGAACTTCAGAAACACTTGATAAAATGAACATTTCCATTTACATGATTGGCACATAGTAAGCGCTTAATAAATGCTTGCTGACTGACAACGTAGTAGAACAGAAAAAGAGGATTATACACAAAACTTTGAATTTCTTTGATGTACAACATACTTTTCTTTTTAAATGTCTAATAAATTCAACAAATAACTTTCAAAACAGTCTTGCTTGTCTGTCATTCTTTCTGGCCTTCTGTTCTCTTCTGTGTATTTTAAGCAAGTGTTTGAATTGACCCACTTTTCTTTTTCTTTCCTTTTGGCTACCTTATCCTAATCTTCCTCTTCTTCCATCTACCTCAGCCCACCTCTGTCAGAAAAGATAAAAGAAAAACAAAGCCCATGTAACTAATAGGCATAGCCAAGCGAAACAGATTCCTACATTGTCCAGGTCCAAAAAGTTTCATTGTTGGTTTTCTGGAAGTATAGCTGGTCATTCATTGATCAAGCCTTTTAAAGTTACTTCTTTTTACAATGTTGTTACTGTATACGTTCCTCTGGATCTCACTTCATTCTCCATCAGTTCATACAAATCTTTCTAGGCTTCTCTGAAACTGTTCCTTTCATCATTTCTTATGACTCAGTAGTATTATTTTGCACTCATATAATAACTACAGAAATAGCCAACATTTAGATAGCTCTTTAAGGTTTAAAGAGCACTTTACACACATTAATTTTCATTTGGTCCTCACAGCAGCCTTGTGGGCTAAGTGCTGTTATCCCCATTTTTTGCAGGTGAGGAAACTGAGGCATATAAAGGTTAAGTGATTTGTCCAGGGTGACACACCTTGAAGTAAGCTTTGAGGTAGGATTTTAACTCTGGTCTTCTAATGCCAAAATCAGTGATCTATCCATTGTACCAACCTAGCTGCCTTTATATTATCATTTGTTTAGCTATCTCCAATTTAAGGGCATCCCATTAGTTTCCATTTCTTTTCTGTAACAACAACAGCAACAAGAAACTGCTATGAATGTTTTTGTCCCTATGGATCCATTTTCTTTGGTTCGTTGGCTGTGTGTCTAAAATACAGGGTGTCGTAAAAGTCTTAGTGCAGTTTAAAGCTTTAATAGCTTATTTATTTTCATTAGTTAAATATTAATAATAGCTTATTATTTTTAAGCTACTAAAGTTTAGAACCGCACTGAGACTTTTGGGGCACCCTGCATACATATGTTTTGCAGTTTAAGTTCATCACTTCTCATGCACTCTACCGCAAAGGAATCTCCCAGAATTAGCAGAAAGGAGGGAGGTAGCATTGCAAGAGGCCCCAGGCAGATAAACACCCTGCAGCACCATCCAAAAGGAGCTGAAGAAAGCTAAAGGAAAGGAAAAGCAGGCAACCTAGAATTGCCTGAAAGTTCCAGCCTTGCTGATTCCAGCCCAACATGAGGTAAGCTGCTAGAACCCTACAGCCTCCAATTGCCAACATAAGAGGCCCCAGCACACAAAGCCAGTGACCAAGACCTAGGTTTCCCAACACAAGAAGCTTGGGTCAGTGCCCTCTGTTCCCCCGCAGGAGAGCTCAATCTCTTTAAAGGCCAGGGAATAAAGAAACCATGAGTAAAAAGAAACGTACCATAGATTTGTATTATGTGAAGAGTGAAGATCAAGACAGAAATTCTGAAGAGGACAACATTGTCAACAAACCCACATCTGTAACATCTAAAGGGAATATGAACTGCTCTGAAGCCCAAAAAGCCTTCTTAGAAAAGCTCAAGAAGGATTTTAAAAGTCTAATGAGAAAGGTAGAAAAGTCCTTTAAAAATGCAATTGGCCAATTGGAAAAAAAGTGCACCAAAGAAAACAAGTCCCTAAAAAACACAATTGGCAAACTGGAAAAAAAGTACACTGAAGAAAACAAATCCCTCAGAAATACAATTGGCCAATTGGAGAAGGAAGTACAAAAACTAACAGAAGAAAACAATCTGTTAAAAACTAGAATTGGACAAATGGAAGCTAATAACTCTATGAGAGAGCAAGAATCAGTCAAACATAAACAAAAAAATGAAAAAGTAGATGAAAACGTAGAATACCTCATCAGTAAAACAACCGACCTGGAAAATTGATCCAGGAGAGACAATTAAAAATTAAAAAGTTATTGTACTACCTGAAAATCATGATGAAAAAAAGAACATGGATAGTATCTTTCAGGAAATCATAAAGGAAAACTGCCCTGAAGTCCTAGAACCAGAAGGTAAAATAACCATAGAAAAAACACACCGGTCACCACCTCAAAGAGATCCCAAATTGACAATGTCAAGGAATATAATAACAAAATTCCAAAATTAGCAGATGAAAGAGAAGGTACTGCAAGCAGCCAGAAAGAAACAATTTAAATATCATGGAACCACAGTCAGGATTACACAGGACCTTGCAGCTTCTACATTAAAAGACCACAGGGTGTGGAACGTGATATTTTGTAAAGCAAAGGAGCTTGGATTGCAGCCAAGGATCAACTACGCAGCAAAAATGAGCATGATTTTTCAAGGGAGGAGATGGATATTCAACGAAATAGGGGACTTCCAAACCTTTCTGATAAAAAGACCAGAGCTCAACAAAATTTTGATCTTCAAGTACAAGAAAGACATAAAAAGGTAAATGGGACAGAAAGATACAGTATGTTGTTAATAAGGGCGGACTGTTTACATCCCTATAAGGGAAGATGACGCTTGCAGCTCTTGAGAACTGTATTGTTATTACACCATGTTAAAGGAGTATACATAAAGGGGGTGAATATTAGTTGACTTTGATGTAATGATAAAAAAAAATCTAATTAAGTGGGTTAAATGGATCCAAGTAAGTGGATTAGTCTAATTTTAGAAAGTGTACTGAGAAGGAAACTGGGAAGGTGGTGCCCAAGGGAAAGAGGGGCTCTAGCAAAAAAGGGAAAGGGGGAGCAGCTTCTGTGAGTCAGGGTGCAGATAAGAAGGCTCAGGGTCCCAAAGGTGGTGGAAATGCAGTAAAGGTCCGACATATTCTGTGTGAAAAGTGTGGCAGGATCATGGAGGCCATGGAAAAACAAGTCTGGAGTGAGATTCAATGAAGTTGCTTCGCAGTACAGGGAAGATAAAGCCTGGTAGGGGGAAGATTTGGGATGGATGACAACAGGGTCCATGGTGGGCCTGTCCCAAGAAGCAGCATTTGCCTTGCCTGTCAGTGGCCTGGACAAGCCTGTGTACACAGATCCTCCAGTGAAAACCAAATTTGGGTACCACATTATCATGGTTGAAGGGAGAAAATAAACTGTGATAAATGAAAAAAAAAATGTACTGAGAAAGGAGGAGGCAGACAAGGGTAAATTACATTACAGGAAAGGACACAAAATCCTATTACAGCAGAGGGAAAGAAGGGAGGGGGGTGAGCATTGTTTGAACCTTACTCTCATCAGATTTGACTCAAAAAGGGAATAACATAATCAGTTAGGTATGGAAATCTAACTTGCCATATAGGCAGTAGGAGGGAAAGGGGGAAAGAAAAGGGAGGGGGATAGAAGGGAGGGAAGAAGCAGTAAGGCTAAAGGGGAACAAAAGGAAAGGGAGGGAGGGACTGAGGGAGGCGGTGGTCAAAAGCAAAACACTAGTGAGTAATTTTTACTTACAGCTTCACTAATGTGAAAATATGTTTAATAGGAATGTAAATGTATAGCCTGTATCAGATTGTGCGCCGTCTTGGGAAGGGTGGTGGGGAGGAAGGGGGAGAAAAAATTTAAACTCAAAAGCATATGGAAGTGATTGTTGATAGATCAAAATAAATTAATAAAGTAAATTAAAAAATATATATATATACTTCCAAAAATTAGTTAAATTTAAGAGTTACTGCTCATAAATCCCTTGACTGAGAGGCTGAGGCTACAATCAGTCATGAAGCCAGAGTGTTAGGAATCACTATCAATTGAAGGCCAGTCATCGAAGAAGATAGATTATTTTTGAAATTTTAATGCAACATTAAAATGTGGTTTGTTTTGCAAAATTTTAATTTGAATAAAACTGGTTTGGGAACACAATACATAAAGTAAGGTATACCTGCATATAATAAATCTGCCTTCCAGGAGATTACAGTCTCAGTAATAATATAGGATAGTTATATGACAAAGTTAAAGCACTAAGCCAATACATAATTGGACTAGACAGTCAAGTATATATTTGCATGTATTGCAGGGTACACATTGATCCAGCTTTAAAACTATCAGCATTTTTGTGTGTGAAGATTCTAGTTTCCCTTCTAATTGCTGTTGGGTTGAAGTCTTCCCCACCTAGCTTCTTCCTGCTCGCAATAGTAGTGATAGTAGTGTAATAATGATAATAATCGATTACATTTGCAAAAAGCCCTTTTTGATGAGGTAGTTTGAAATTTATAAATAAGGAAATAGACAAGTTAAATGACTTATCTAAGATCACACATCCAGTAAGAAGCAGAGAACGTGACTACAACTCAAATCTTTTGATTCTAAATTCACTGTTCTTTGAACTCTCCATACCATTCATATAGTAATGAGTGAGAGGATGTGTTCAGTCACCACTGTGGCAGCTGGTGGTAAGAGAGGCTCTGTGTGTGTGTGTGTGTGTGTGTGTGTGTGTGTGTGTGTGTGTGTGTGTGTGTGCACTGGCAGCAGCTGCTGCTGCTGAAGAGTAGAAGGTGGGGAATGTTCTGGACCCGTCAGCTACTGGTGCTAAACAGCAGCAACAACATAGGAACCAGCTTGTGGAGGGAGCCGGAGGGGAATCTCCCTTGCCTGTGCACCCGGCTTGTCCATTTACCCTTATTTCAGGGAAGGGATTTGGTTTTGACCTTAAATAAATTTACTTAAGTATGATGCATGTTAGTGTAGACTGGCAGAGAAGATCAAGTCCATCATCTCAAATCATCCTGACTCTGCTGGACCTCATCTGCCTTTTCCTCCCCACTAGGTGATTCCCATACGTCCACAGTACAGTTCTCCAATTCTACCACCTCAGTGCTGGCCACCCTGGCTGCTCTGGCTGAGGCATCTGCTCCCCTTTCCAACTCCCACCGAGCCACAGGTAAGTGATGGGGCATGTGACTGGTGAAAGTCCTTTTTATTTTTTCAGATTTAATTTGCATGAGATTAAAAAGAATTGTGCTTAATTACAGGCAGCTCTAAAAAAAGAGAATGTGGATTCATTGAACATCAGAAAGAAAAGTTGCTAAGTGATGTGATCAGTCAGCTGAATAATATCAGGGAATGTGAGTCATTCTTTTCTGTCCTTGCAACCTTGGTGTGTCTGCTGGGACTCCAGTTGCTTTTACATTGAATGAAGTGTTTTAATTTGTGTTAGATGATCTTTCAGAGATATTGTATGGCATGTTTTGACTCTGATGCTCTTAGAGTCTGAATAGCCAGCTGAGATATCTTGTAGATAGGAACGTTACCTACCTCTTTGCCATAGCATGTGTACTCCAAGTTGTCTGGTTTCTATTTTCTCTGATGTTTTTTATGTGGTAGTGGGCGAGTGCACTTCCCAAATGTAGAGCCCGAAAGCCTTCTAGCCATTGAGCCGTGGCTGAAGGGAAAAGGCAGCTCCTGACACCCAACTGACAGTTTGGAGGCAGAAAGGAATCCAGTAATATTTGAGGAATGCCCAAGGGAATCTTTCTTATAGTTCCCACATAAAAGCAAATAGTTCTAATTTATCTCCATCATTAACACTTGAACAGTGATGGTGATAATGTTCTGTTGCCATTCAGTTCAGTAAGCCTTTATGAAGTCTACTTTGCAAGGCGCTCTGCTTGTGGGAATGATGGAGGCAAAATATGTAAGTCCCTGCCTTCAAGAAACTTCTGTTTTACCAGGGGCCAAGAGGTGGATGAAGAGACATAGATACAAGGGCATTTGAGGAAGGGGAAGACTAGTAATGGGAGAGAAGGCTTTGTGGCTGAATCCTCCCAGAAAAATGAGGATTTGGAGAGGTAGAAATGAAGAGGAATTGCATTCCAGGCATAATGGGAGTCTTGCAGAAATGGAGGAAGGCGGGAAATGGGCTGTGAGGCTGAGGGAGCAGTTAGTTCTTAGTTCAGCGTGGCTGGTTTGTGGAATGCACCATACATGAAGGTCAGTAGTGCTATGAGATAAGGCTAGAAAGGTAAGTTAAAGTCAGATTATGAAGGGTCTTCATTGTCAAGCTGAAGAGTCAGTTTCTTATCCTTCAACTATTGTAGAGTTTTCGAATAGGAAAGTGACATCATCAGACCAGTGCCTTATAAAGATTATTTTGGCCACTCTGTATCTTTGCCAGAGCTCACTTGTGTTTACACAGATGAGTGAGTGTGTGACTACAGTTATAGAACAGAATCAGGGAGAGCAAATAGGAGGCTAATTTCAGCAGTCCATGAGAGAGGTGATTAAGGGCTGAACTTGGGTGATGGCCATGGGAGTGAAGAGAAGGGGCTCAGTCCCCAAAACTCACGAGCAAAACATCGCTAGGGTGCTACCTTCCCTCAAAGCCTGTCCTCATCATTCTAGGTGTTAGTAGCCTCCCTTCAGAAATTACTTTGTAAATATTTTGTATTTGATTTTCTGTGTGCGTGTTTTTTTCCTCCCAGTGGAATATGAGCTGCTTCGTGGCAGGGATTGCTTCATTTTTAGTCTTTGTGTCTCAGTGCCTAGGGCAGTTAGGTGGCACAGTGCTGAGTCTGGAGTCAGGAAGACTCATCTTTCTGAGTTCAAAATTTGGCCTCAGACATTTGCTAGCTGTGTGACCCTGGCCAAGTCACTTAACCCTGTTTGCCTCAGTTTCCTCATCTGTAAAATGAGCTGGAGAAGGAAATGGCAAACCACTCCAATATCTTTGCCAGAAAAACCCCAAATGGGGTCACAAGGAGTGAGACACAACTGAAAAACTACTAAACAACAATAGTCTCAGTGCCCAGTATATAGGTTCTTAATAAATACTTATTGAATTGAATTGAATGTTCAGATGCCACTAAGAGTAAGGCTCTTGATCCATGTATTCATACTTTTTTTCTTAACAGGGTGACCTTTGATTAAAATCTGTTACGTTTACCTGTACCTTCCCTGGTGAAAGGCACTCTCGCTCTCTTGTGCGCACATGCTCTCTCTCTCTCTCTCTCTGTCTCCCTGTTTGTTTCTGTCTGTCTGTCTCTCCCTCCCTTCTCCTCTGCCTCCCTGTCTCTCTCTCTCTTTCTCTTTTCCTCTCTCTCTCTCTCTCTCTGTCTGTTTCTGTCTGTCTCTCTCTGTCTCCCTGTTTGTGTCTGTCTCTCTCTCTCTGTCTCCCTGTCTGTTTCTGTCTGTCTCTCTTTCTCTCTCTCTCTCTCTCTGTCTCCCTGTCTGTTTCTGTCTCTCTCTCTCTGTCTCCCTGTTTCTGTCTGTCTGTCTGTCTGTCTCTCTCTCTCTCACTTGCTCACTAGTCCTCTGGACCTCTACATATGCCAGCATCTAATTTTCCCATGAAACTACTCAAGTATATTTAATTTCAGTATTGTGGACTGCCAGCTAACCTGTTCTCTGAACTTGACAGTTTTATCTCCTGTCTCTGTGTGTTCATATGGTTCTCCCCCCAAGTCTGGAATATATTCCCTCCTTCTCTGCACCTATCAGAGTCTGGGTCTTCAGTGCTTAGGTCACATGCTGCCTCTTTTGTAAAGCCTAGCCCTGACCACCCCACACCCCTCAGTAATCTTCCCATCTCAGTCCATCTTGTATCATGCATGTCTCCATTCTCCCTGATCACCCTAGGAAGCTTCTGGAGGGCTGGCAATGGTTTCTTGGAATTTTTTTCCCTTAAGTCCCTAGTGCCTGGCACAATTCCTTACACATACATTTGCACCAGCATACATTTATTAAGTACATCATCCTATGTGCAAAATGACAACAACTGAGGAAACTGAAAAGCTTTATCATCAGACCAACTTACTTTAAAGGAGCAAACCTTTAGATGTGTGGCCCATTACTGAGCTCATGCAGCATTCACATGCTTGTCAGTCTCATTTAGAAATGGCTGATTTTCAGATTTGCTTTTTGTTGTTGTGGCATGAGCCAGTGTTGTTCTTTCCTTGTTATTGTTACCAGGATCTTGTGACTTGCTCATGAATTGTTCAGTTTAACTAACAGGATTTCCAGATTTCATCTGATTTTTGAATATTATTGTTTCAGGAGACATAGAGCTATATTCTTGTTTTAAAAGTGCTGGGATTGAAAAGAAAAAGCTTTTTATTCCTCTTTTATTTCTAGCCAATTCAGAAGAGATCATGGAGGCAAATTCTGTTGACTCAGCAATCCAACAAGTGGTGGGGAGTGGAAGCCAAAGGGTCATCACCATAGTAACAGATGGAGTCCCCCTGGGTAACCTCCAGACTGCAATTCCCACCGGTGGTATTGGCCCCCCTTTCATTGTGACTGTGCAAGATGGACAGCAAGGTGAGCTGCCCTGTTTCAATGGTTGTCCATTAAAAGATGGAACAGAAATTAAACTCTTGAATATAAAAAGCAAGTTAGGATGAGGATGGACTGGTAGAGGTTGCAACGAAGTCAGGCTGTTTCAGCTTCCTTCTAAAAATGTCTTGAGGTGAGAAGAGAATCAGTGTACTCACCTTCCTCTCTACTGTTATGACTCAGGTGTTGACCAAACCTGTAACTTCTGTTCAGAATCCCACACTTTCTTGTTTGCATGATGCTAAGTGAGACTTTTCCCCTCCTCACATTCATTGAAAAAAACATCAAACCAATTTGTATCTGTAGTGGGAAGAGAAATGTAAAACGGAATAAAAACTTTATTTACAGTACAGTTAGGTCTTCTCAGGCCTGTTTAGAAAATTATTGATGATAAGCTCTTCTGTACAGTGTATGTTCCCAGATTCTTTTCAGGGCTTATTTGGTGATCAGTTACTGAAATTGTTGAGTGGGTGAAATCTGAGTTAATTGGAGTAAGAGGCTAGATTCATTAGAATTTTTGTCTATATGTAGAATATGCTAGTGTTGAAGTGATTGGCATTATGTTTGTTTAGCTTACTCCTGAAAGCAGCCTGGTGTAGTGGCTAGAGAACTAGCCTTGAATCAGGAATCCATAGGATTGATGCCCCCAGGAGACCTTCTGTCTCTGAGACCCTGGGACCAGTCATTTAACATTTCAGTGCCCTGGGCACTTCTGTCAGACAGAGAAAGTGCCAACCTCAATTGGGAGAGTTTCCTCACCTGAAAGTTCCTAACTGGATGGAAAGCTAGGCCTAGCTTACTCTTTTTTTTTTTTGGTGAGGCAATCGGGATTAAGTGACTTGCCCAAAGTCACACAGCTAGTGAGTATAATGTGTCTGAGGCCAGATTTGAACTCGGGTCCTCCTTACTCCAAGGCTGGTGCTCTATCCACTGTGCCACCTAGCTACCCCCTTAGCTTACTCTCAACAGAAGAATGCATTGGGATAAGAATTGTGATTGACATACTGTTAAATTTACATTTTGTGAATTGTCCACATTTATAGATTACCTGCAGCAGATTTTAAGTTCCTAGGTTGATCTCTAGTGGAGGGAGGAGGCTTAGACTTACTGTCACTTGAAGTAAACTCAAGGAATACAAATGATTTGTAAAGTCAACCTAAGTTAAATTTAATGGGGCAAATAAACAGACTTAAGCCAAAATACAGAAAGTCTGCTTTAGATGCTCTTTGCTGTGGCTCACTTCCAGGGGGCAGCAGGACCCCCAGAGCTCACTTAACACAGGTAAGTGAAAGCTGGCTTTGGCTTCTTTGCTGTGAATTGTAACACCTCCTAAAGCTTTGTCCTGTTGTGACTGGCTCCAGGAGCTGCTTTAGGTCTTCTTTAAATTGTTCCTGCTATTTCACTAGATCTCCATGAATCCTATTAGTAAATAAGCCAGTCCATTCCCCAAACCTCCGCACCATGCTATGCGAAAGGAGAAATCGTGCTTTGTTCTCGGTTGTTCACCACACAGTATGCCTAGCTCCAGGCTTGGGACTGTCTCCAGAGCTTTAGTGATTTTGACTGTGTGCCCCTGCCCCCTTAAGAGCTTTGCAGTGTTTCCATAGTCCTATCTGGGTTCCCCAGAGAGTGTGTATAATAAAAGGGTATCAGATTAACCTTTTCAGTGCTGATTTCTTTGGGCAGAGAATCCCCAAACCCACAGAAAACAAGACCTAGATTTTTTATTGTGTATTCACTTCCTCCCCTTGGTGTCCCTTGGCTTGTAGTTCTAACTGTACCTGCTGGTCAGGTTGCAGAGGAGACCATTATTGAAGAGGAAGCAGAAGAGGAAGGAGCAGCTGGAGAGCTGCCAGTGGCCAAGAAACAAAAAAGAGAAGAAGAAACAGAAGGCGTGGATGAAGCCAAGGTAATGTTCGTGGCCTTGGTGGCGGAAAGAAGTGGCCAGTGAGGTGAGGAGGGAGAACGTGCCTGGGAACAGCCAGTGCAGACGCATGAGGTTGGGAGTGTCACACAGGAGGAGCAGCAGGCCAGCCAGCACAGCTGGACGTGGACTGAAAGGGAGACACACTCTTGAGGGCAGCAGGACCCCTTTAGAGCTCAGATTGAGTAGGAAGCTGATGTGATCAGAGCAGAGCTTTAGGAAGACCACCTTGGCAGCTAAGTGAAGGATGGATGGTGCAGAGAGTGGCCTAAATCCAGGGGGCCAAGCAGGAGGCTAGGTGGTCATCCAAGCAGCTGTTGTGAGCATAGAGAAGGACATATCCATGACAGATGGCACGGGCATGGAAGGACAAGAATGGACGTCCGATCAGGTTTGTGGGCAAAGTGATAGAGAAGAAGAAGCCTGTGGGTGATAGGAGAGCTGAGGAGATCTCTTCTGGATCTGCTGATTGTGAAACACTAACGGGACATCTGGTTGGAGATGCTCACCAGGCCATTGGTGATGAAAGACCAAAGCATTTTTTTCCCACCTGGGAGGTGGGCAGACACAAATGGACTCTGGTTTACTTTTACAGGAAGATCCAGAGAGAGAACTGCTACAACAGCAGCTCCAAGAGGCCAACCGCAGGGCCCAGGAATACCGACATCAGCTGCTAAAGAAAGAGCAGGAGGCTGAGCAGTATCGTCTGAAGCTGGAGGCCATGTCCCAGCAGCAGCCAGACGGAACTGAGATCACTGTGGTAGAGGAAGTGGCTGAGGTGGATGCCTTGGTGCTTAGAGAAGAAGAGGTGGGAGGGAGGGGGACAGAAGTGACAGGGTCAGCAGGGACTGTGGAACCGCATGCTGATGTTGCCATGGAAACTGTTGCATCCTAACATTCAGACCTCTACCGTATATCCCCCTTTTTTTTCTTCCTTTTAAAAAAACAGGAAAAAAATCCATAAGAATATTGAGAAATATCGAGGACATTAAAAAAAAGAAAATAACAGTAGGACACAGCCCTGTGGGCTTAGGAGATTTCTTCATACAACTGGAAAATTAAAACATAAATTACAGGGGGATGTCTTCTGGGACCCAAAGAATGGGGACCAAATTTCTCAGCTCACAAAATTTGTTTCAGGCATAAAGGTTGGGGGGTTTCTGTTTGCTTTTATAAATAGATCCCTAATTTTAAATCCCCAGAGTTTTATATTTGTTTTGATAACTCCCCCTACATACCCAGGCTCCTTAATCATATTACCAGCACATGACCTGAAATTTGCCTTGGACTTACCCTGTGTGCCTGCCTGCTAGATGAGATTTGGAGAAGAAAAGGGAATACCCTGTATTCAGAATAACTTGTTGATCTCAGCTGCCCTGATTTGCCTGCATTGAAGACAACTGTTAAGCAGTTACCTGACAAAACTGGAAGCTGTTTTATGTCACAGCAGAGGTGCCAGTTTAAGAAATTAAAGTCTTTGACAGCCAGGATTGCCAGGACTTAACCCAGAGTGGCCCCAGTGATACAGGAGCCTGGGAAGCCTGGCAGGGCTCACTCGTGGGGGGGGGGTGTAAGCGCAGCAGGGGATGGGAGGCCTTGTGGAGAGTCCACGCGGGGCTATGGATTCAGGGAACAGCCTTTTTGTACTTGATATTCAGACCTGAAGCCCCAGTTTTCTAAGCACATTCTTGACCTACCTGTGCCTTTCCCTGGTGTTTAGATTCAACCCCTCACAGATGCAAACTGTCAGGGCTGAGAGTGTCTCATTGTTCTGTGTTCATCTAGATTGGGATGAGTAAATTTGCCTAATTATTTCTCTCCCTTCACATCTGCCTTCACGCCAGCACTTAGTAAAGTGAGTATTCTGCCTTCAGTGAATGTTAATGCATGTTGAGTGACTAAATCAGAATTATCAGTGTTGTAAGATGAGGAGGATCCAAAGGCTTTACCAAGGACTATGTAGAAAACAAAACAAAAAACACATGCCATTGGAAAAGTGTTTTCTTCCTTCATTTTTCACATGTGCCAGTGTAGTTTGTTTTCCAGGAAAAAAAGGTTATAAAGGAGCAAGGGAGAAGGGGAATGCAAGGGTGGGTTACGGTTATATTTCAGAGAGGAGCCCCCTCCCCTCTCGCCTTGTTGCCTTTCTTCTTTTGTTGCAAAGCAGAGGAAGAAACCCAGGGAGAGATGAGCCAAGTAAACACTCAAATGACTGTTTAGAATATGGTTGTCTTAATTAGTGATCGTGGGGAAAACATGCATTTTTAATTTGGAAAAAAACTTGACAGTTAACGTGGCTCCATTTACCTTGATTAACCAAGCAATTTGATGCAGTTTTCCAGAGTTTCAGAATCAATTTGGGCTTAGAACAGATTGAAAACAGAACTGAAAAAACAGATTTAACAATTGGATTTGGCTCTAGTGCTGTATATTTGTTTAATCAGTTTTGGAAGTTGGTCTCAGCTTGTGGCTCCCTCAGCCAGGCCTCCCCGAGCCTTCATGGAGCAGGGTGGCTCTCCGAGGCTTCCCCCCGGCCTGGGAAGGGGAACTGGCTCTACATTCTCTTGATTCCACTTGGTGTGTTTTTGTTTGTTCGTTTTTAGCTTCCCTTTGGGGAACCAGGGGTTAGTTATGTGTATGTGTGTACACGCATGCGTGTATGTGTGTGTGTGTATCTGTCTGTCCATCCGTCTGTGTGTTTGTGTGTGTCTGCTCCCCCATTTGCAAGAGAGAGATTTTGTAGTCTTAGATTTAAACAAGGCAAAGGGGGAAAGCTGAACAAAATCTTTTTCAGGGGACTTTTGTTTTATATTCTCTCTTCATGTATTGACTTGAATGCATTTTTTTAAATCCATAGAAGCTCTTTAGGCCAAAGAACCTTGGCCACCAGGCATGATGTGGGTGATGCAGGTTTGTCCTCCTACCCTTTCTTTGTCTGGCATTTGCATGTTTCCTTCTGTACACCCAGAACTCCCTCTTCCTCCCCGCCATTGATTGGCGCATCTGATACAAGTTACTCTTGACTTCTTTCCCCGAACCTCTTCTTTTCTGCCCATTTCTTTTTCTTTTTTTTTCTTAATTAAAAACTGTGGGGGCCTACCATAAGGTCTTTAAAAGAAAGGTCATTTGACAATTCTACCCATGAAACAGGTCCCCGTAGCCAGGAAACAATCTTGGGCTGGCTGGGCCTTCTTCCAAAGATCCTCAGAAACAGGCATGTCAGGGAATCCTAAGAGATTGCCATTGAAAGCGGTTAGGTACAGAGGCTTTCCAGTTTCATTGTATTGGTGAAGTGCCTCTAAGTAGCTCGGGGTTTCTGTCGTTGACTCCAGTTTGATGGGAACTTGGCTCGTTGGCTCTTGTGGGGTTTGAGGCCGTGGGGAATGCTGTTGTTGGGACGTTTGTGACGTCCTGGGTTAGGGAGGGACCTCCAGGATCCCCAGTGTCTCTGATTGGGTTGATGTCTTCTTCACATTCATAGTGCGTGGGATCTGTTTGACTTCCTGAAATATCTGTTAACTGGGGTGGGGGAGGAGGTTTACCTAAAATACTCATCAAGATAGTCTGGACTCAGGGGGGTGCCTTCTTCCTCATTGCCTGTTGCCTGAGGGGTGGATTGACTTTCTAGAGATATAGGAGCGAAAAAATGAACATCTGTGGATGGTAGTGTGATGGAAGTCACTGGGATATCAAATGGCTACTTGAAGGCTTTATCAATTGGAGTTCGTGTTTGGGATGGGTTATGTTATCTCCAAGTAAGTTGGTGTATTGTTGGGGCAAGGATGGACTTTTCTCTCGTTCTCCTGTTAATCTTGGGGCTAATGGTAGTTTGAGCTTCTCAAGCAATTCTTGCTTAGTCTTCAGCACTTCCTTTTGCTGATGTATACTAATTGCATTTTTCTACTGATGAAACTCTGCAAGGAGTTCTTCTTCCTTTTCTAACGCAAGGCTCTTAACTTCCAGTATTTCTCGATGTTGGCTTAGCTTGGTTTCAGCCTCATGGGCTGACTCCCAGAGGGCCAGATACCTCTCATCAAAATTCACCCTGATGAGTGTCCTTCCATGGGCAGAAGCAGCAACACCCATTACACTGGTGGAATGGGAAATGATAGGTACAACTTGTGTTCCATCTGATTGACCATGGCAAGATTCAGGAGTCGAGCACAGGGGGCATAGAGTCCATGTTTTGATATCTCCTTCACTGCCCATCAAAAAGCTATCAAGTTCACTTTGGAGACTCCTCCCTCAGGCTAGACAGGTTCAACTCCTTATTTTGTTTGATGTAGGATGTGATCCAGAATTGTTTTTACAATCAGCAACCCAGCAAAATGTAGTTGGGCAACTGATGTTGCAGTCATTGAGTCTGATGTGTCGTCCAGCGTGTTGATGGAGTCCTTGGTGTGTAATGACAGACTTGAGGAGGAAACCTTAACTCATCGTTGTAAGAATGATCTTGTGGAGACCCAAGTTTGCGGAAATTCTGCAAGGCCTTGTTCAGAATGAACCCTGATTTGGTGTTGGACTTTTTCTATGCAGGCTCGTTCCCCCCCAACCAGTTTAGGGAGGAAGAGGCTACAAAATGAGATGAAGAGACCAATTCTTCCTCTGTTTAATTCCTCGTGTGGGACTCCTTGAATGGCTTGTTGTAGTGGAGGGTTTTGATTGTTGGCAGCCAGGAACCTTCACAAGCCAGCAGTGTCATCCCCACCAAATTGATGGCCTTCATGTCCACACTTTGATAGATACTGGGCCACTGGGCTTTCTAGGTACTTTTTGATATCACCTTCATAATAACAAAAAATTAGTAAGGTCAATAAACTGATCTAGATGGTCTCCTAAGTCGATGCCTGCTTCTATAACGTCGGTGACCCTGCAGCATAGAGGGTCAATGTCTTGGGTGTCATGAAAAATCAGCTTCCTTGCCCTAGCATATTCAACCCAACCTCAAATCAGTCATGTAGTGAATCCATAATTGTAGGCTTGATTATAATGTAGATTTTGATGCTTGTTAAAAGTTTTGTAATGAAATTGGTTTGGATTTTACTCTTCCTTCTCTTTTGAATTTTACCTTTACACCCTATATATCAATTCCCATTTCAGTTCCTGAAGTACCCGATTTAACTCTTCCTCTTCCTTCCCTCTGCCCATTTCTTGAATGTCCGTATTCCTGACAGATCATGGAGGTAGGTGGTAGGGGTATTTTGGGTGGTTACAAGGATATATTAAAGGCTTGTTGGTGGAAAAGAGTGAACCAGCACACCCTGTCATTTTCATTCCTTTGGAATAGAGAGTTTAATACTCAGGAGAAGGGAGGTAGGAGCTTGGTCTTTGGTTATATGACAGTGTTTCAAATCAGTGTGGCTTGAGAGGTTGTTTGATGTTAAATGATAGTAATTCCCATGTGTATCTTCTTAGGATTTGCTTGGGTAGGTAATTGCCCCAGCTCTGGGGAACCACACAGCAGCTCTTCCTTACCTGATTTGGCTTTAGAAGGTCGAAGCAGGCTTATTGGCTGTTCTGCCAACAGAGGGTTAGATAGCAGCTTCTGTTCCCCAGGTAGATGGTTAGAGTTGGTACTGATGAGAAGGAAATTTGGGGCCCCAGGGGTTGTCTCTCTTAAAATAAAAGCTGCTTCAGATATGTCAGTATTACTGTCAGGAACTCCCATGTGGACATTTGCATTTTAGTCTAAGGGTGATTTGTCTTGTCCTTTCCTCAAAAAGGAAGAAGTGGGAATTCCTTCCTTCTCAACTTTAGGGAAATTGAGGTATGAATTTGTAGCCCCTTCCCATCACTGCCCCTGTGGGGACTTCACTGTTGCAAGAACTGGTTTCAAGAGACACGTGCACATAATACATAGAAACACACACACACACACACATCTGTTTGTTTTCATGTCTCACTTCCCCCACCCCCCACTGACCATAGCTTTAAAAAATACTTCCTCTCTATTCAGCAGTGCCAGGAATCTGTGACATATAAAATGACTTGTTTCCTTTATTTTGCTTTAAAAGAACTGAATTCTTCATAGGGCTGTCCCTTTAGGGAGTAGAATTATTGTGACTCACATGTTTTATTGGTGCCTTGTGTTTACATACATGCGTACATGTGTGTGTGTGTATACACATGCAGGAATGCATGTATATATAAGCATCGACATGTACCTTTTCCACATTTTCTCTTCTTTTCCTCAGGGTTCAACTCTGAGGAAACACTGTGTAGAATGAAAAAGTGTTAAGGGATCTGTAAGATGTATTTTTTTCTCCTTAGATTATTGCAAAGGAGGGAGGGAGAGAACAGAGACTCTTCATTCCTTGGTTTGGGTTCCTTTGTGAAGAGTGCCCTTTGGGCAGCTGTGAGGAAGGCTGTGAAGCGAGTATCCAGGATGAGCTGGTACAAGGCTTCTAAAGGCTTTGCTTGGCACGTGGTATGACTGGTGCTGTGGGTGCTGGATGTTTTACAGTGGCATCAAACATTGCAGGTGGAGCTCCGTAATTCAATAGGATGGACTAAGCATCTCCTTTCACTATAACTATTATCCAGCCTGGGCTTTTGACTCTCCGAAGTAGAGCCAGAAAAGGGGGAACTGACTTTCTGTGCCTCTCCTTCCCCAATCTTGTGACCACATTGGGAGTTCCTGTCACCATTCCCCCAGTCTTCATAAAAAGTCAAATGATGCTGGGACAGAGTTAATTCTCCCCAAAAAATGCAGTCTAAATGAAAATATTCCTTTTGTAATTTCTTTGGGCATCGTCTTATGCTTTATTTTCTAGCTATGCACACCCAACCTTGAAAGGATGGAGGCAGAAATTAGGGTGGGGTGACTGTGGCGAATGCTGTTGATGCTGCTGTCTGTCACACAGGATGGCTAGAAGCCCCAGATTCCTATTCATTTGATGAATTCTCTGAAAACACACCTTACGTTCTGCCCAGGGACTACCAGGAAGAGAGGCCATGAGTAGCTTTGAATCCCAGGTGCTGTCTTTTCTGAGCCTCACAGGGCTGAAAGGGATGGAGGTGCCGGTGATATTTCTAGACCGTGTAATTAGTAGTCATGTTATCATCAGGAAATTATGACCCCAAATCTCCACCTTACATCCCCTGCCTCTCTGACCCCATTGCACTTATCACAATGAGGTTTTTCCACACAGGGGGAACATAATTACTTGATCATTTCCATTCTCTGTGTTTGAGTTCCTGTCTCTCTCTGTCCTTCCCCCTCGAGGCCCCTGTCCCCATCCCTTCCACCCTGGACACGTTCTGGGAGGTGTTTTTGAGAATTAATGTAGGTTGTGACCTACAGCCATGCTGCCCTCTCTGCTTCAGGGATCTTGCTTTGTTACCAACAATGACAGAATTTCCCTCCCTTAGCTTTGCCTTTTTCACCAGCCTTCTATTCCAGTGTTCCTCTCCCTCCTCAAACCACTCAGCACAAACCATTTCTCCAAGTGCCCTCAATTTTTCAAGTTGTCTGACAGTTTTATATACAAGACACTTAGGAAAACCTAAATATTTTCCTTTTTCTGTTTAGGATGTCATTGAAATAGTGTTTGATTCTGATGAGTGTGTATGTATACATATACAGATATATATATATATATATATATATATATTTACAATTTTTGTACAATTGTTTTAAAAATAAAAATATTTCTTTCTTAATAAAATGCCAAAGTTTTACTGTCTCTGGTTGTCTTAATACTTTCTGTCTCTACCACCATATTCCAGTATCTATCAGATATAGAATTTTACCATTCTGAACTTGGCTTCTGAGGTGTTCAGCACTTCTTTGTTTCATCAGTCTCCTTCCTCAGCTTGCTCCCACACCCTTTTCCTTTTTTTTTCTCTGACCTGTTTTATCCTCATATACAGCTTCGGAGAAGCAGAGACTGATGTGGGAATGGGCTAGGCAACTTTGAACTTTAAAGGTATGGGCCTCCTGCTAAATTAATGTCATCCCCTTATCTACCCCCAATGTTTCCCTATGAACAAATCTCCAGGGAGGAGAGATTGAGGAAATGCCTCGCCCTTGTGTGGGGTGAGACCATTGCTGAGGGACAGAGATGCCAGAGCCCAGGGAAACAAGAAAACAGGAGATTTGTACCAACAGTGGTTCCTAGCTAATGGAGTGATGAGCAGATGTCTCAGAGGTGTGTGTTTATGTGTATATATTTCTTTGGGAGCACTGAAGGGAAAGGAAAGGAGCTTAAGGGGGCATAGAATTAAGGTATTCTTAACCCGTGCCAAGTGGTCTGTGGACAGATTTCAAGGGGGTTGTGAACTTGTACAGGGGAAAAAAATTATTTCAATATAATTGGTTTCCTTTGCAATCCTATGTATTTTATGCTTTTAAAAACATTCAGAGAAGGGACCCATAGGCTTCCCCAGACTGCCAAAGGTGAGGGGTGGGGAGGAAGGGTCTATGATGCAAAAAAAGGTAAGAAGACCTGCTGTAGGAGTAGGTGAGCAGGACCTAACAGATTTGGCCAGAAGTTGCATATTCTACCCATCACCCACCCCTAAAAAAAATATTTTCCTTAACACAAAGTTCCTGGAAGAAGAATAGTGAAGATCAGGGTGGAAGGGTTAGAGGTTCACTGATTCTTAATAGAAGGAAAACCACTTAGGCACCACTACATTCATGTTACCTCCTCTACCAGAGTCAGACCCCCTCCACCCCCAAAAAGTATAGCTGGTGGTCTAATGTGGAAGCCACTCATATTAAAGCCAGTCCCATTCCTATATATAAGAAGTTCCAAAAATAACGGTGAGTTGGCTAAGGAGTTCCCAGAGCAACCTATGGGGCTGCTCACAATGAAATTTGAGCCTGGTCATAGTCCTAGGACCATGCTGGGAAGGGGGAGAGACAGAGAACTAGGCAAGTAAACACAGTGAAGACCAAAGCTGTTCTCTTTTTTTTGGGGGGGGGTTGGTTTTTTTGGCTAGACAATGGGGTTAAGTGACTTGCCCAGGGTCATACAGCTAGTAAGTGTCAAGTGTGTGAGGCCAAATTTGAACTCAGGTCCTCCTGACTCCATGGCCGGTGTTCTATCCACTACACCACCTAGCTGCCCCCAAAGCCGTTCTGTTTTCAGAGCTGCAGCCTGCTTGATGGGCTGAGGGAATTCATATCTCTTCTCTGCAGGTCATGTCTTAGCTGGTGAACTGTTTCCTAGCTGGTTCAGAATATTATCTTAATGCCAGAAATCCCTCTTCTCTGACAAACACAGGAACTTAGTCACCTGGCTTTGGACAGCTTACTTCAGGAAAAACACAAAGAAGAAACAGGAAAAACTCTTCCAGGTCTTAATATCTTGTTGGTGAGATCCCAGGAAAAATTGGGAGTGAGGGGCAATATCCATGCAAGAAACAACTGCTAATAACCAAATGCATGCCTGTGCCTTACTTGCAGGGGACAGACTTACAGGGAATAGTAAAATCTCTAGGTATAATGCCTATTAAAAATAAACAAGTCACCTGCTCATCCTGCAGGATCAGTTTTATTTATTCCTTGCCCTGAGTCCTCAGAATTTTGAAGGGTCAGTTTCTGGTCTTTGGAGGAGTTCCAAGATGTATGATGAGGTACCTAGGGGACGTTAATCTGAGTGACCACAGTATAGCCCAGGTCCCTAGTGATTAAGCCTCCTCAGGGCCCACAAGGCAGAGCAGCTTTTCCAAGCTGGTGATTGTGGAACCTTCTGCGTTTCAAATCCTGAGAGCCTGTCACAAGGTGATGGACTCTGTCCCCCCAGGGCCCTGCTTTCTCCATAACCTTCTAAGGTGCCTCTGGGATCCCAGCTTGGAAATCCTTGCAGGAGGAATCTGATGCTCCTTATTGTCAGCTTCTGCTCTTTCTGAAGACCGGATCTAAAGTGCAGGCAGAAGACGGATATTTGCACCGATTTCTAAATCAGGTTTTCCCTTTTATTGACATCACTAATAACTTATTTAAAAGCAGGTGAATTTTTTAAGCATGTGTGAATTGTACCCCGACAGTCCTTAAATTAAGAAATCATTATTTTTCACAATTAGCTTCAGATAGGACCCTGATGAAGTGAATTCACTAACGGCTGTTCATTGCAGAAGACCCTAAAGGATGACAAACTTTTAAGTCTTATAAGACTGTGAGATCCAAAATGAGACTGGTGTCAGTCTTTCATTTGGCCATCATCTGCTCCATCCCCTTTTTACAGCTTAGGAGACTGAGGCCCAGAGGTGAAATGAATCACTCAAAGTCATACAATAAATTTATCATGTATGTCCTACTGCCCTTAGGATAAAATACCAACTCATCTTGGGATTTAAAGCCCTTTACAACAGGATCCCAGCTGACTTTTCCATGATTTTTTCATGTTAGTCTCCTGCACAAACTTCCATTTAAACTAGGAGTAGGGTGATAGATCTGGAGTCAAAGGATCTGGGTTCAAATCCTGAACCTGCCATTTGCTACCTGGGTGACCATAAGTCAATCAATTTACTTCCTTGGGCCTGTTTCTTCACTTTTAAAATTGGACCTTATGAACAACCTCTAAGGCCTTTTCCAGCTCTAAATGTATGATCTTGTGACTCTCTTAGCTTGGGAGAAACTTGGAAAAAAACAAACAAAAAAACTTTGGTGGTATTTGTTCTTCCCTGCAGAGATGATGACCTGAGTTCAAATGCAGCCTCAGACACTTCTTAGCTGTGTGGCTTTGGGCAAGTTACTTAACCTCTATCAGCTTTAGTTTCCTTAATTTAAAAATGGGGATAATAACAGCACCTACCTCCTAGGATTGTTATGACAATCAAATGGGGTATTTGTAAAATTCCTGACACATAGCAGGTGATTAATTAATGCTTTTTACTTCCTTCCCCTTGATCACATCAGTTTTCTTTTTTTTTTTTAAAGGCAACTGGGGTTAAGTGACTTGCCCAAGGCCACACAGCTAGTGTCAAATGTTTGGTCTGAGGCCAGATTTGAACTCAGGTCCTCCTGACTTCAGGGCCAGTGCTCTATCCACTGCGCCACCTAGCTGCCCCCAGTTTTCTTCTAGATCCTGCTTGCGAATTTATTTTTGAGGTAGTATTTACCGCAGTGGTGGCACCAAACCTTGGTTTGGAGAAGATATTGGTCTATCATATGTCTGGGAAGATTTGCCCTTCCTTTCATATTGGTTAGCTCTCACAATATGGTGGCTGTATGATCACAAGGGTGTCTAGGTCCCACTCACACTCTTTCAGCAAAGCTAGACTTAGTTGTTCAGGTCTCCTAAATCTCTTATTTTATATTAACTGTTGTTCCCTATACATAGAATGGACATTTTCCACGTCTCCACCTATTCAACATTTATCAGTTCCTAAAATATGTGAGGCACTGTTGGAAATCCTCTTCAATCAATCAACAGGCATTTATTGACAAGTACCTCCCATGTGCCAAATGCTGTAGATATGAATACAAAGAAAGAAAGAAACCCTCCTCTCAAGGAATTTGCATCCAGAAGACTCCTCCTCTCTTTTCAGGTACCACTTCCCCGAAGAAGCCCTGTAGCTGTAGGTGTTAGCCCAAAGCTCTATGCCGAGCCCCCTTCTCTTTTCACACAATACTATCTCAGTAACTTCATCAGCTCCCATGGATTCAATTATCATCTTTATGCAGATGAATCTCACATGTATATAATCAAGCCCTAGTTGCTTTCCTGAGTTAAAGTCTTGTCATCTCCAACTGCCTCTTGGACATCTCCAACTGAATGTCCTTGCAAGGCATCTCAAACTCAACATGTACAAAACAATTCATTTTCTCACTCCAACGCTCCCCGCCTCAGAACTTCCTCCCTGATGCGGAGGGCGCCATCACCCTCCCAGTCACTCAGGTCTACAACCTTGGTATCAAACTCAGCTCCTTACTCTCACTCCCCACATCCAATCCACTTCCAAATTTTGTGATTTCTTTTCACACTGTCTCTCCTATAGATTCCTTTTTCTCCATTTCTATGGCCACCAAGCTAGAAAAGAACCTCCTTAGCTCTTACTGGACTAATGCAATAGCCCGCTAAATGGTTTCCTTACCTTAAGGCTGTCTCCACTAAGTTATTCAGGTGATTTTCCTAAAGCCTTACCAGATCTCCCTCCCTTTGGGATGGACCCTTCCCATCCAGAGACTTTGCCTTTCTTCCGTATCTGGCATATACTAAGCACTTAATAAATGCTTGTTGGCCCACCGAAGGAGTCACTTCTTACCTAGAATTACAGCCTTCTCTCCATTGGAGGCTCCAGTGGAGCTAATCTCTTATTTTTAATTTTGACCCCGGCTAGGTATTTATCGTACTTAATTAAGCTCATCCGTAACCTCCCAAAATACAACTAAATTCAGTTCAGTTTCGTTTGTTGTACGGTCTCCGGCTTTGTGGGGCCAGCTTCTGGACTGTATATTACAAGTGTGCTACACTGTAGCCATCGGAACACCGTGTAGTCCAGTGTTTCTGTACATCCCCCATCCGACCCAACACACACTTCGGTAGTGAAATGTGATCTTTCCTTTTCCTGCATCTCCAGAGCTTAGCCCAGAGTTGATGTTTATAATAAACATGTCGAACTGAACCACTGAAATTAGGCAGCGATGCAAAATTAGGGTAACTGGGGAGTGAGCCTGAAAGCAGTAAAGGAGCTTCCTGCCATTAAAAACCGAAGCAAGGCTGCCACGGCGGATGGATGGAAGCGAGGGAGCTGATGCATGCGGGACTGGAAGAGGCCTTAGAAACCACCTAACCATCTTGCGGATGAAGAAAGTGAGGATGGCCAGGAACGCCCTGCATGTGGCAACAGCAGCCTTGGGGTGCTGGGGGAGCCAGCAGAAAGCCCGAGCGTGAAGAGCCAGAAGAGAATCATCCCAGCAACGGGGAAAGGGGAGGCCCGGACCGTAAACCAGGAGGATGCAGAGCCGGACTGGGCAAAGGGGCAACTTCCGAGCTGGGGTGGGGGGCAAAGCCCTCTGACCGTCCTGCGCCAAAGCCAAAGGGCAGTGGCCAGGAAAGGGCCGGGGTTTTCAGGAGTGACCGAAGTGGTAGGCTGGGCACGGGGAGGGGGTGTACGTAGGTCGGCAGCTCCTAGCTCTCGCCCCTCTGCAGCGGCTCCTCCTCCTCCCCCGCATCGCGCTGCGCATCTTAGCACAGACCCCGACGTGGAACCCCCGGGAGACGCGGCAGGAGCCAGGCTTGAAGGTCTCAGCGCGAGGAGCGGGGAAGAGCGGGCGGCAGGGCGGGGGTTGGGGGCGGTCCGCCTTTCCCATTGGCCCATCTCGATAACGGACGGGCGTAGCCAGCCAGCCCCGCCCCGAGGAAGGCAGGGCGAGGCCCGCCTCAGCGCTATAACCGCGGGGCGGAGAGCTGCGGATGCGTGTAAGAAAGCCTGTTCTGGGCGCTTTCCCTGTGGGCTTGCGTGAGGCCGCGAGCTTGGGGGATCAGGCCCATGTTCCTGCCCGAGGCCTTACTTCTCCTCGCAATCCAGCGGTGTGTGGGCCTGCACAAGGCCGGTGCTGCGGCCGCCCCCCCCCCAGCGGGTAGCTCGCCCCACGCTGGACTCCTCGCGCCCCTGGCCGGCCCGAATTATAGGCGCTGCATCCCCTTAGCAGCGTCCTCCCGGCATCCTCTTCCCGACCCTTGGCTCAAACCTCCTCCTTCCGTCTGCAAAAGCGCTGGAACCTTGGAAATTGCCTTCCCGCATCCCCACCCACGTTTTCCTCAATTCCCTAATTGAGGAAACCTTTCCTGATTAACTCCACTGGGACTTTAGCCGCTCCAACTGCTTGACAGAATCCGAGATGGAGATGCAGAACAGAAGCGGACAAACCGAGAGAAATATCGTGACGTTTTCTGGCATCATTCCTCCCGTCTCACCCCGTATTAGTAAACACACAGTGGGTCTGGGGGCACATCGTTGTATTGGGGTGAGGGAAGGCTCCTACACGGTAGGAGGCGATGATGTCTCGGGGCAGCCCCAAGAACTCTGTACACTATACATACATACCCTACCCCAACCCCCAATCGTGGACATCCCCAGTCTGGGGCTTCCAGACTACGGAGGAAGCTGGGAGGGGAAGGGCTAAGGCAGCTTGGCTGGAGGAGATAAGGGTGGGAGCCCCAGCCAGCTCCCACTGAGTAGGGCTGGCTCACAGTGGTGGGAGGGAGAGGTAAGGCCCCCCCCCACTACCCAAACCCCTGGAGTCTAGGGGCAACAGAGAGAGACTACGATGAGAGTCAATAAATAAGCCCAAGATGGGCAGTAAGTACAGAGAGGAGAGGTCCGGAGTCCAGGAAGGATGTAAGCAGGCAATGTGATTAGTGAGTTATTTGTCCCTCTAGAGTCTTCATTGCCACACCCTTTCTAGGCAGGGTAGTTACCTTCAATAGTTAAAATGGCCACCAGGAGGGGCGGCCTGAGAGGGGGAGGTCACAAGGAGGGGAGCCTTTGGGGGCAGCTGTGGCTTTTCCACATCAACCCTCTTCAGGGCACGTCCCCTGTATCCCTCAGGCCGACCAAGGTACAGAGGGTACCTTCCGTGAACCCCAGAATATCTTGAGGTTCCTACTGAGGGGACTCGAGTCAGCAGGCCCGGGGGTCCCCGGTGTGGTGAAGGGGATATGCTCCGGGTGCCTCCAATCCCAAGTCGAGGAGCAGGGGCAGAGAGTGGGGGGCGGGACGGAGGTGGGCATTTCCCATCCGGGGGAACATCCAGCCGGAGTGGAGGGGTACAGTCTCGTGGGAGTGGAGAGGCGCCAGAAAAGAGGCCATGGGCCGGCTCTGGTGGGGGAACTCGGGGCTGCGCCCGGGTAGCCAAGGGGAGAGGGGTACAGGGATTATTTGGGGACAGAAGCTCTGTCCCCTTCCTAGGAGGCTGGGGAGCATGGAGATATCGAAGCAGTTCCTCTAAGGTGGTCACTTCTACAGCCTGGCCAGGGCAGCCAGGAGGGGGTGGCCTCACCAGCACCCTCGGGGCAGGTCCAGAGCCACTCCGGGAGTGGGCAGAGCTGTCCTTGGCATTGTTCCCATTATGGTTCCACTCCCAAGGCCCCTGGACTGGTTGGAGCTGCTTGACTGGAAGCTCTGGGGTGGACTCAGGGGTGGGCAGGCAGGCCAGCTCTGGGGCAGGCATGCCCTCAGTGGGTGGTAGGAATGTGGTATAGAGCTGGGGCACTGAGGGTGAGTCCCCATCCTTGGCTGGGGGTGGTGGGTCAGGACCCCCACCATGGAGCCTGGCCAAGCTTCGCAGAGAGAGGGGCCGGGGGAGTCCGGGGGTCTCCACGTCCTTGTTTCCCCTGTGAGTGTGTCGATAGGCATGACGACAGGCACAGGAGACCAGGAAGCCAGAGATGGAGGCACCCAGGGCAAAGGCTGCAGCCACACTGGCCAGGAGGAGCGGCACGGGGACCGTGTGAGGAGATGAGGCCTGGGGAGGATCTCGGCGAACACCTGAGGGAACAGAGAGAGAGGCTTGGAGGTGAGGCGGAAGATGAGGAAAAAGGTATGGGAAAGGTGAGGAGAAATGCCATCTGGAGGGTTCTCTGAAGTCTGACCCTCATCCCTTGTGCTGCAGCCTCAATTCCACTGCACACAGCCTGGACCTCCCCTCCCAAACCACAGTCAGGCGGCAGGTCAGCTCCTACACACTCACCCCCCCACCACCACAGAAGGGATCCCAGGACTGAGGTGTCCCTGGGCCCCTAGTCCTGCCCCCCGTAGCCATGCTGAGAACACCTTCCATACTCTGTCCATGCAGAGGGAGTCGGTGCTGAGAGAGGAGGCCCAGGTCTGAGGAGGCAGGAGGCAACCAATGGAAGATTATTAGTAAAAAGCAAACCCCAGCCGCTAAAGTGTTAAATTCTCTGGGATGCAGCAACCCCCACCAAACCACCACACCCTCCATTACCTGCCTTACCCTCTATGTGAGCCCGAAGAGTGGAGGGCGGGGACCAGGGGTGGGCATCATTGGGGGGACTGGGGGCCTCAGGGGGAGGGCTGGGACCCAGAGGCTCTGGTGACAGAGACCAAGTCAGAGCCAGTGAGGTCCCTACTCTCAACCACTTTCCCCAGAACAAACAGATGGATTAGCCCACCCCCCTCCTCATTGAACCCAAGAGTCCGGGAGTCCAGCCTTAGCCACCACCCCCAACCCTGAGGTCTGGCAGACTCTGACAGGGAGATTAGAGGGAAGAACTGCTGACTACTCCCTGATCATCACCCCCACCCTCCCAATTGCTCTGTCATATTAGCAACTTCAGACTCTTGGGAATAAGGGAGTAAGGGTTTAGCAAGTTGAATATAAGGTTATGGGAGGGGAGAACTCACCATAGGCAGAATCTCCTGGCCCTGAATGACTCCCAGTGGCCCCATCTGTGAGGTGGGAGAAAAAGGCAGGGTGAGGGGAAAAGGTGGAGATGGGCGAGGGGTGGGATGTGTGTAGAGATCAGGAGTTTGACACCGAGGAGCTGGGGAAGAGGCAGAGAAAAGATTAAGAGATAGTGAAAGGGTGTGCGGTGTGGGGGAGACAGCTGGGATACAGTCACAGCACTATTGGGGTGGTGGTGGTTACAGCCCCCTTACCGTGGCAGTCTCTCTCCTTCATCATTTCCCTGGCCCCATCCAGCTGCAGGTCAGTCCTGGGGAGGAAGAATTGAAGTTCAGTGCTCAACTCAATCCTGCTTCTACTCCTGCATTCAGTGTCCCCGCTCCCAGCTCCCAGAAGAGGGGAACCATTGGGCTCTCACTCACCAAGCGGGTCCCCTGACATCCATGCAGCCTTGGAAGCTTCCCCACCCACAGTATGGGTCCTGGGAGTCAAGACAGCTTCTGGGGGGAAAATGAGTCCCACAGGTCTGGGGAAGAAGCACGGGGGCAGGGGAAGAATCCTTCCCCTTGGTCCCACTTCTTGGCTCACATAATATTAGTAATAGTAACTAGCGTTTATGTAGTGCTTCGAAGTTTGCAAAAATGATTTTTTGAGCCTCAAAATCCTATGATTCTACAGACATTATTATCCCCATTTTACAAATGAGGAAACTTGGGCTCACAGAGATGAAGTAACCTGTTCTGGTCATGGAGCTTGTATATATCAGAGGCAGGATTGAAGTCTGAGTTTTCCTGTATGACTCCAGCATTCTACCCTCTATAGCAGAGTTGTCTCCATCATGACCCAGCCAACAAAAGTCCTAAATTTAGACTTGAACCAGATTAAAATGCAAATGGAAAATCTTTAACAAGATAAATAAAAATACAATAAAGCACTGGTAATGGTAATTTATGGTTTTCTAAGCAATATGTGGCCCTCAGGATGTCCTTCTATTTGAGTCTGAGACCACTGCTCGATACAATATCAAGTGAGGCGCCATGGTTCTTCCACATTTTAGTCTCCTTCAATTCCAAACCCCCCAAACCCGTGTCTGATCCCTTTAAATGCAGCACGCCCCATATCACAAGCTACCCTATCCCTTTGTGACCAGCACATCTCCTACAGCCTTTCCCAGAGTGGGCTGTGTCTTCTCTGTTTCCCCTGTCCCCATTGCTCTCTACTTAAATCATTTGCTGGGACTCCCAATCCATCCTCCTAACTCCCACTGTATTTCCCAGGTCCTCCCACCATGTCCCTATCAGTTCTATTTGTCCCCAAGTAGCCTGCATACATGTCATGTCCCCTCCCCGGAGTCTCTTACCTTTGACAAGCCCCATGCCGGGTACATCGACTGAGAGGCAGGTAGACAACACAGCCTGAAAAGGCCACAAAGAGCCTGTGCCCGTCAGGATCCAGCACCAGTCCAAGAACCCGGCGGGCTAACTGTGCTGATCGCTTACCGCCACACCTGAGAGAGGGACAGAGGTGAAGGCTTAGGAGGGGGGCTCCTTACACAAGAGTCAATAGTGAAGAGAGAACAGAGCCAGAGAGATGAGTTGAACCTCTGCGCTAGGCTCCCCAGATGCTCCCCATGACATCTGCTCTCCCAGTGGAGTCTCTTTCTCCTCCCCACCAGTGATCCCAAGCATCCTTTACAGTCTCCTTGCCAAATCAACTGAGATAACACATATAAACTGGCTTATAAACCTTCAAGTGCTATATCAAAAGCAGTTTTTATGGTGGCTAAACCCAAGCTCTCAGACCTATTGCTTCCCTCTCCAATTTTACCGTGTTCTCCATCTAACCCCAGGGATAAAAAACAGAAGCTGGCTTTCAAAGACCTCACCGGGAAGAGCTATAGGTGTCGATCTCCTCCAACAAGATGGGCTCGGCGTTACCATACCCCCCTCCTGGGGGGAGCACCTTCAGTATTGTCCCATCCTCCGTACCCAAGAAGAGGACAGTGGTATTGCCGTGGCGACCAGCTGCTCCATCCACAGCCACCTGGGTCAGCAAGGCTCTGGAAAGGTACAACTCCAAAGTCAGTAAAGGGAGAGGGGGCCTCATACTGCACACCTGAGATGGTCACATGTGACTCCACCAGAAGATCGTGAGATGGGATGGCTATACTGGGCAGTGATGGTGGGTCTAGAGGGCTCTACCATAAAAAGTCATAAGGAAGGCAGTCACATTAAGACCATGTTAATCCAAAAATGATTGGATAGTAGAGGTAGGATAACATTTATTCCAAACCACTTGTTTTACAGATGAGGAAACTGAGGCCCAGAGAGGGGTAAGTGTCTTGCCAAAGACCACATGGCCAATATGTGGGAAATCCAAGACTAGAACCAGTCTCCTGACTCCTAGCAATACTCCTTCCATTACACAGCATTAACCTCCTTCCCTGCTGCTCTTCCCCCAAACCAGGTAGGACTGGGGGCCACTCTACTCTCCTTCCTTGGGGGGGCCGGGCAGGGCTGGGTCTTTCTGCTCTCTAGAGTCATTTCATCTCATACTCCTCCATTTCCTAATTAGTTTTCCCTCCTGAATCACATTTGCCAGGGCACATGAAAGGGGGCTAGGCTGGTGAGGTGCCCTCCTCACCTTTCCCTCACTCCTCTTCTCTACCTAATTCCTTGCCCACCTTCCCACCCTCCTCCCCTTCCAACCCCTCCATGTCTTCCCACCCCTGCATACCTGCCAGTACGGGTGAGAAGGGGCCGATGGGTGGCAGGTGGCACAGCGGAATCCAGCAGTGGGTGAGCCTTGATGAAAGTCAGGACTTCATCAGGGAGGTCCCGGGAAGAAGGAAATGAAGCAGCTCTACCCACCCCTGCACAGGACCCTGGCCTGAGGGATACAGGGAGGGCAGTGCTCAGGGCAGGGTGACTAGGTACTGTGGCGTTCCCTGGATCCCTGAGTACCTGGGACTCCACGGTCCCTTCACTGAGATCCTGCAACCCCTCCCTTCCCCAAACCCACTTCATCCCTCAGTTCCATTCCTGCAATTTAGGAGCCCAAGGAAACTTGGCATAGCATTACAATACCCCTTTCTTACTCCTGCTACAGGCTCCCTTGCTCAAGTCCCCTGTCCTTAGATTTGAGGGTCTCTCTCCCCAACCGTATTCTGTTCACAGACCAATACTACGTCTCCAACTCGCTGCTGGACACTTCTGTGAGATAGCCATGGGCCCTTCAGACTTACAGAGATGAGCTCAGTTATCTCCCCTATGCCCACAAATGCAACACCTCACTTTCCCCACTTCTCCAAAGGTCCCTATCTGTGCCAAGAGTCCCCCCCCCTTCCCAGTCAGTTCTCTCCCCACCCACCATGCCATCATTCACATCCAGCTGCCGAGGATTGTCGACTCTACCTCCATAGAAACTTATGTGTCTGTCTCTTTCTTCCACTCACGTAACCGCCACCCTAGCACAGGCTGCACTCACCTCTCCCCTGGACCACTGCACCTAACTGGCTTTTTTTTTCTTTTCTGCAATAAATCCTCCACCTAGCTGCCAAAACCACCTTCCTAAACCATAGGTCTGACCGTTATTACTTTTCTGCTCAAAAACATTCAGTGTCTCCTTATTGCCTCTAGAATAAAACACAAACCATTCAGCTTGGCATTTAAGCCCCTTCCCCATGTGGCTCTCGCTTACTTCTCCACCTTTATTTGAGATAACTTCCCTTCACAGACACTAGATTCCAGCCAAACAGGACTATTTCCTGTTCCCTTAACTTGGCTCCCAGTGTCCTGCCTCTGGGTTAATAAAAGCACTCCTTTAAGCCTGGAACGCTCTTTTAATCTCAGCCTTTCAAAAGCTTTATCTTCTTTCAAGATAGCTGGGAACCTTTCCTGTTATCTCTGGTCTCTCTCCACTACTGGTTCTCCCTCCTTACTCAAATATTCCTAGGATTTTTTTATCTGATATTTCTTGAACTAATATTTGAATCCATGTCCCACCTCCCCCCCACAGAAGGTAAACTCTGAGGGAAGCGGCAGTTTTTCTTTCCTTCTGTCCCCTTAGCCCAGTGCTTCCCCATGGTAGGTGCTTAACAGTTTCATGAACTGAACAGACACTATCCCATCCCCATTGAAGCTGCCCATAGATACCTGGGTGAGGGGACCCTGTCCTCAGGCACAGGGGTCCAGGCCCCATCTGGGCTCTTCTGCTCCTTGAACTTGCCCTCAAACCCATGTTCAATGTCATCCAGATAGAAGGCACAGACAGCAGAACCAGGGATGCTATAGGGCATCAGGAAAGTGTGGGAGAGGAACTATATGAGCTGGGTCTGGGAGAGAGCAAGGAATACTCCCTCCCAGGTCACCGACCATTCTAGGTACAGGAAACAGGAGCCACCACCTTGCTCTGTGGTGGCCTTCAAAAAGGGTAAGGTAACTTGGCTACAAGTCAAGTTGGGATGTAGTCGGGCATATTGCTTAGGACAGCTCCTCCTTTCTCCACCCTAACTGCTGACCTGAATGGTGAGGGCTATAATGTTTGGGGTGGGTTGGTCATATTGGTTGGGTGGGTCAGCCATATTGGTTAGGAGATCTTCCACACCTACTTCACATGCCTCCCAACCTGTTGGTCTGGGTGGTGAAGACCCCAAATAGAGCAGGACGTCCATGCAGAGGAACAGGACCAGTCAGGGCCTGCAGTACATCAAAGTAGAAAGCCGAATCTCCAGGGACAGAGCAGTTGAGCCGAAGCTTTAGAAAAGATGTCCAGTGACGGTCCAAGGCCCGGGCGGAGCCACCTACGTCATGTTTACACACACGTGCTACACGAGAGAACTGTACCTGGTGGGGAGGAGAATCAGTAGGACACCAGGATAAGTGTTGGGGGGCAGGGTGGAAATAACAGGGGAAGACGGGTCAAGGGAAACAGGGAGAGCTAAAGGTATAGGTCATATGGGGAGAAAGAACATTGAGTGTGCCAGAACAGGCTCGGGCTCTCCTCTCTGAGCAGAATCCCCTGTCTCGCCTCCCCAAGGTGGGGTCCACTCTGCTTACCCGTCCCAGCCGAGCATCCTCCACAGAGACTTCTCGGAAAAAGAAGTAAACATGGTCTCTGTGCTCCACAGCATGGACAAAGTGTGGCTCTGGGGAAGGGGGTGATGAAATGGGGAGTGTCTACATAGGTCTCTTCCAACTCTAGGATTTGATAATGATTACTCTCCATCCCTGAATCCCCTGGTATCTCTTGCAACCCCACACCCCCATGCAATATCCTCTAGGAGATTTCCTTCTCCTCCCCAGACCCCACTACATCCCATTCCCCAACCCTGATCCCCCCTGACCTCGAAGCCACTTGGAGTCGTACTTGGCTGAGCGGAGAGGGGGCTGAGGGCCAAGACTTCTATAAACAACAGCATCGCTGGCCTGGAAATCTGCAGCCGTGGCTGAATAAAGGCTACCCTCTGGAGGGGGCATCCCAAGGTCATGGGAGGTCATCATAGAAAGTGGAGATGGAAGATGAAGGTCACAAGAGGGCACAGGAAGGGAGAGATTGTGCTGTGTCCTAACCTGGCCCCCTCCAATCTTCCCAGGCTTCTTACTCCTTATTTCCTACCACATACTCTGCAGTCCAGCGGCATGGGCCTCCTCCTGCTGTTCCTTGCACAAGACCATCATCTCCTGACTCTGGGCATTTTCACTGGCTGTCCGCCATCCTCATCCCTCTCTCCTGGCCTCCCTGGATTCAAATCCCAGCTAACATCTCACCTCCTCCAAGAAGCCCTTCCCAATCCTCCTCTTCTGATTATCTTCAGTTTATCCTATGTGCATCTTGCTTGCACACAGCTGTCTGCATGTTTCTCCCCCATTAGACAGTGAGCTCCTTGAGGGCAGGGACAGTCTTTCACCTTTTTCTGTACCCCCAGTGCTTAGCACAGTGCTTGGCACACTGTGGCACACATTTATTAAGTGCCTGTTAACTGTTTCATGAGAGGAAAGAAGGTCCCATGGAAGGAATCAGCTGGGGGAAACACAGGAGAGGGGAACATAGCAGGTCTCAGAAGGTATGAACACATTTGAAAGATGTGTTTTGAGACATTCTAATAGCACATTCACACCCCACTTTCTCCACCCTCGTACTATCCTTCAAGGGAATTCTCTACTCATCCTCAAAATTCCAGTGGGCATTAAATGATAAAGGTGTGGAATCAGTGGAGGTTGAGGGGGATGGGAAGGGGGCTGTTAGTGTCTCTCCATCACTCGCCTTCATTCACCCACCATCCCATAATGCTTTACCTGCAAAGATGGCGACGCTGGACTGTGTGGCATCAAAGGGGCATCGAGCTTGCCCACTCAGCTCCTCACCCTCCTGTTGCAGGGAAGAGAGCTGGGGTGGGAGGAAGAGGGAATGTGACCCTGAAGCCCTTGGGTATCTCAGGGAGTAAACTGAAAACCCACAGTATCTTCCTTCATCTTCTTAGCCCTACTAACGCCTTCTTCACTATGCTTGTCCCTCCCCTCATTCCAAGTTCTCCTAGGTCTCCTCTGTCTCCTACCACTGGGCCTTATGCCCCATCCAACACCCCAAGATCCAACCCTATCCTAAAGCTTGTCCCCCCATATTTTTTATTCATTAATTCATTCCCTCCGCACCATGCCCCCCCCATCTGTAACCACATCCCCCCCAAGTGCCGTACCCCATAGCTGCGGCACGTGGGGCTGAATGAATTTGTCCCGCAGGCAAGGAGGGTCCGGGAGTCCCGGGGAATGAGGACGCGGATGTAGTTGTAGCACTCGTCCTAGGGGCCCCAGGAAGTGGGACCAGAGGTCAAAGGTCACTGAAGGTAACAGGGGGACTGGGCATTCTGGGATCCCCAAGGGCAAGAGAAGGGCTGGGGACTGTACATGCCAAGCATTGTTCCCTTTGGGTTGTTTCCCCTGTGTTCTGGGAGAGGAAGGAAAAGAGGGCTTGGGAGAAGAGGTCACGGGGGAAGGAGATACCCAGCCCACCTCCCAAACCCTCATCACATCCCTCACCCTCAGCTTCCCTCGAACAGCACAGTTCTCCACATCCTGACTTCTCCATGTCAGATACTGATGGAGAAGAGAAGGAAAAAGGTTTTTGAAGAAAGCACTAATTCTAGAGGTTGACCCCAGAGCCCTCTTTCTGCTGCCTGACCCCAGAACCCAGACTGTCCCACAGTCTCTCACCTTGTCTGGTACCAGCCCTTCCCAGTCTTGAGCTTGAAGATCAAAGGAGAAAACATGATCCCTAAAGGTACGAACAGGGAATGGGTCAGTAGGTCAATATTTGCCATCCCACCCCCTCCAACTTTTCACATGGTAAACACCCATTGCATACTTGGCCAGGTGTAGACATAACATGTAACCCACAGACAAGTACAGTCATATCTCCCATACCTGTTCATCTAAACGTGTCCTGTGACCCATGTCTCTGGACATATTGGCTTATATATAGTAGGCCCTTATTATATCATATTATGGTATGTCTTTGTTCCACTGTCCATATATCTGCCATGCCTCTGTGTGTATGGATTCATGTTTTCTGGGTCTCTGCTCCTGTTCACAGGTACCATGTCTATGTTCAGTCCATTCATATGTTCTGTGCAACTTACCGGGCAGCTACCAGCAATGTCCGGTTCAGGATCAAGAATCTCTGAAAGTCCAGACCCAGTTCTCCAGCCACAGCATCATCTTCTACACCCCGGAACCAGGATAATGGTGATACACCTGGTGGGAAAGGAGGAGAAAGGAGAAATATTTGGGTCACCAATACTTCACCCCAAAACCTTTTCTCCAACCCTATGAGAAAAGAGAGAAACATCTAAACTCCCTCCCCACAAAAGAGAGAAGCTACTTGATTATGGATGAAGTAAGAGTGAGTTTACTGGTCCCTACCTACTCTTCCAGCCTTATCATCTACTACTCCCTTAGCCAAACCTCCTTCCTGCTCACCACTCCCCAGTCTGCCTCCTAGCTCCTTCCCTCTGTTCACTCTATTCCCCCCTCTAGAATAACATTTTCCATCACCTTCATGTATCCAAATCCTTCCTTCTAGAATCAGACCAAGTCTTACCTCCTCTATAAACCATCTCTAGCCACTCCAGCCAGCAAGACATCTCCATCCTCCAAACTCCTATAGCACTGTTGTCTGTACTACTTAGTAATTAGTCATTAAGTAATTAAGGGTCACTGCTTTGTCTAGTTTCCTAACTTTTGTGTTTTCCTCATCACCCTAGCCCCTTGAGGGCTAGGGCCATGTCACATTCATTATATTCCCCCAGCATCTAACCTAATATCCTTACCCAATGAATAATTAATTACTGATTGATTAATATAAGGAGCTAATGTGGAACCCACAATTAGAGACAGTACTTGAATGGGGGGGCGGGGATAATATCTGGGGGGAAGTCTGAGCCAGCCAAGAACAGATGTGGAAGAGAAGGGCTGAGCTGGACATGGCTGCCACTTACCTTGGAGGTCAGAAGTCACTAGAGGGAGGGGATCCTGGGGGAAGGTGGCTTGGCTGTGAGGAGTTGAGGAGAGCAGCAGCAGCAGCAGCAGCAGGAGCAACCAGGACGTGAAAGGAGGGCCACGGGGCATCCTGGGCAGGCCGGCTCAGGCCCTAGGTGGCACCCTCTCACCCATATGTCAAGCCTGAGGGAGAAGACAGAGAGAAGGCTGAGGGGAGGGGGCTGGAAGCCTAGACTTACTGGGAGATTTAGAGCCAAGGGTTGTTTCTTTTCTGTATTTTGGTCTTCTCAAGCAGGGATGTGGACACAGCTCCTCCCCTGGTCTATCCCCAGGGGACCCTAGAGATGGGAGGGGATCTTTCCCTACACCTGTCCCAACTGTGCCTGTCACTGTCACTCAAGTTCCATCTACCCTAACAGGAACAAACCAGCTTTGGCAGGGAAAGACAGACCCAAGTTATGACCTCAGGTAAGGTCAGGGCATATCCCCTCCCCCTCAGTTCCTCTCTCTTGGTCCCCTGACTTTCTCTGGTTGATTCTCCTCATCCCCCCACCTCCCTCCACCAAACCTTCCCTGTTATAATTAGATGCTGGGGAGGTGGGGAAGAAGGTGTTGAAGCCTCACATTATAAATAGTAGTTCCTGAGGACCATTTGAGGGAGATGAAGCAGTCTACTCTTGCCCTCCCCTTACAGACCTTCCTCAGTACAGCCTCCCTGGCAGCCCAGTGTAAATGTGTGAGGGATATACTGTGACTATCTCTCATCCTAGGTCTGGAAAAGAACATTGTGATATTCAGGTATACCCGTGGCTGTTCACTCAGTGAGAGATATGGGATGTTGGGGGTTGCTGCCCTGATCCAGGCAGGACTCCCCAGGACTAAAGGTTCAGAACGGGACAGAGGACCATCTTAGCCAAAAATGAATCTGCATCGAAGCCAAATTGAAGGCTATATTTAGTTCTGGTTGCAGCTGTTTCTCCAGACCCCCTCCCTTCCTCCTCTCTTTGGCTCCCCTCACCCAGTATATTTGCCTTTGAGGGGGAAGTACCACCTGTGGGGACAGTAGGAAGAGAGAGAGCTGGAATGGGAGGAAGGGCTGGACAACCTCATCTTCTTCCCCTCCTCATCGGGCTGCCTCTGAAATTAACATAAATAATTCAGCCAGCAGCCGGGCACTAGAGCCCAGAGTCAGGGGGAGAGATGGATGGGATAAGGATGGGAGTTGAGGTGAAAAGAAGATCCTGAGACGCAGAGACGTGCCTCCCCTCCCATCAGCCTCCTGAAACCATCTGGCCCTAGTTTTAACCAGCTCTGGATTGGGGAGTGGAGGGGGGAGGGAGACAGAAACATAGTAGTAACTTCAGGCTTTTGCCAGTGATTGCTGCTATGAAACCGGGAGGTACCCCACCCAAAGGACAAATGTCCTTTTACCAGATACAAACAGGGATACTCTTAATCCTCCTCCCTCAGATGAAAGAACTGGGAACCTTGTTCTAAGATCCCTGGGTTCCTGACTCTGGGACTGGAGTGTGTTAGAGGGGTGGGGCAGAGAAGAGGGGAGCTGGGATCTTAGAACAACAAGGTTCCCTCCGTCCCCCTGGAGAGTCCTCTCCCTCTATATGACATCATCTGGGGAGGCTAACGTCAGATAGGGACCCCAGAGGGCTCGAGGAGGGGAGGGGGCAGAGACACCTAATGATGACCCCCTCCCCTGAGAGGACAGCAGCCAACTAACGACCCTCCAGGCTCATAAGCCATAAGCCCCTCCTCTTTTCAGGATGCTGACACTCCCCTGGGAGCTCTCCTGTTGTCCTTCCCATTACTCTCACACCTTTCCTTCTCACCACTATGTTGCCCTTGACAACAAATAGTATCACCCTGGAATGACTTTGGCCTCTGGGCAAGGAAGAGACCTTCCTTGCTTCCGGGGCCACACTCCCTGCTTTCACCTCCTTACCAGAGACACCCTTTTTCTCACCTGGAGTTGTGATTCTGGTGGAGATCTAATAATAGGTGAATGATAAGAGGTCATTGACATCCCCCAAAAGCCGATACCAATGCTCCAAAGAGACAGGACACCCATGCAGGGCAAAGGGCAGTGTAAAGATGAAAATGTCAAAAGGGGGAGAAGAAGGGGGACAATGGACAGGGCAGTGTGCGCTGGAGCTTGGTTTGAGGAGCAAAGGGTGGCCAGGCATTGGCCTCTTGGGGTGCCCTTCCTGCTTAGAAGGTACTAGGCAAAAGGAACACCTGAGGCCACTGGACAGGCCTAGAGGAGAGAAAAAAGCAGCCAGGACAAGACCCAAAAAGGAGAATAAGGGACTGAGACCACTCCTCAGCAGAATCCTGAAAATACTTAGCCAAAAGGCCCAAGCTGGGAACCAAGACAATAGAGGCTTATTTGCATCTCATTTGCATGCTTTCATCTTGAAGCAAAATGTGCAGACAGCATCCCTCCACTCCCCACCAGCCGGCCAGTGGTGGTGCCTCCTAGTCTTCTGACAAAAGGCCTATCAGCTCTTGCTCCTTTCCCCAAAGAGCTCACCCATACCCCTAATCTCGGCTACTTTCTGCACAGGTTACCTAATGCCCTTTTCCCCAGGTCCCCAGTGTTGATTTGGCTTGGCCTGGCCTGGCCTGAAAAAAACATCTGGTTGGGCTTTACACTGGTACCTTCACTCTGACCTGCGGGGCCAGGGGAGCCCTCTGCAGCTTCTTTCAGGCATTAGCAGGAGGAGTGCACCTACTTCCAGGGCCTAAAACCCCTCTCCAGTGCCCCTGACACCACCCCCACCTTGACCTCTGACTCCCATTGTGGCAGCAAAATTTGTGTGTGTGTGTGAGAGAGTTGGTGGGGTGGGGGTGGGGGAAACGCTAAGCAAGGTGGGACTGGAGAACAGGAGGAATCAGCATCCTGAGTCTCTCAACCAGCCAAATCTCATAGGGGCCAGGCTCGCCTGGGCTCATCTCCTATATGGAAGAGGAAGCTGGCCCCTCTTCTCGCCTCAGGCTCAAAGCCACCTCTGGGGAGTGGCTGGGGTCACAGCCAAAGAGTCTGGCAGGAGGGATGGGGGGGGGGCTCCCACCCTGGGACAATAGCAGGAAACCCTCAGCCCTATAGTCCAGCCCCCTGTACCCCTTCCTTTCAGGGAAGGGGGAGGCTTTACTGAGGAGGGGCTTAAGAGAACTCTATCCTCTCTCAGACACTTCCCCCTCCTCTCTCCTCTGGTTCTAAATAAACAGTGACTGTACCATTCCCGTCATCCCCAGAGCAAGGATAATCTAGGTGTCTAGACCCCTGCATGAGGTGGGCACTATGCCAGCAGATGGAGAAATCTTCAAATTGTCTGCCGCCCCCATCTCTGGAGCTCCAAACATAGAGGCCAGGGGGCCTGGGGGGTGAATGTCTGCTGCCTGGGACTCTGTCCCAGAGCCACGTTAGCGAGAGGAGGGGCTTGGGAGGGGGTGCCTGCAGGCAGAGAGCTGACAGGGGATGGGGGGAACCAGAGGATAGGACAGCAGATACAGGGCTTTGGAAAAACAGAGGAAGGGGGACTGGAAGCAATAGAGAAGGTTTAGGGGAGATAGAGCTAAACTGACAGCCACTGGGGCCCACAGATGGAGTCTACCATTTCTGCCTTCTTCAGTGGCAACCTAAAATAACAAAGTGCTAGAGTGGGTTTGGGATTGGGGCTGGGGTCACAACCCTTCAGGAGGAAAAGGACTTCTACAAACACCACCCTTGTACCCGATTACTCTGAGCTGGGGCCTGGGGTCCCTCCTTCCAGCACTCAAGTCTCCTCTCCCTACCTTAGGGAAAGCGTCTCAGCCAAGATATCAAGGTCCAGGAATGACTTCTCCCCTCCCTCGCCCATCCCCTCCAATTTCTAGTGCCCGGGTTTCCCTATTCGGTAGGTTGAGGTAGAAGAGGGCTTAGTTCATCGCTTCAATTCACTTTAGACAGGGCAACCCACTCCTCCGATCTGATCTCGGAAATTATTCCCCGCCCCCCCAATCTGTACCCACAAGATAACAACACCCCGAAAAAGCCTCCGAGAAAGTTGGGGTCGAGGGGGCTGCGCCAAGGCTCCTTGGTGTCCCTGGGTCTTCGGTTCCCCAGTCCTGCCGCGCGCGCCCCACGATCCCCCACGATCCCCCGGCACAGCCCGGAGCCTGTCCCCGGTGGCTTGCGGGGACCCCGCCTCGGCCGCTCCCCCAGCCCCCAGTGCCTGCTCCGCTGCCCTCCCTCCCTCCAGCCCCGGCTCCGGCCCCTGCCCCCGCGCTTCCCCGCGGTTACTTGCCCTGGAAGCCAGGTCCGTGGGGTGGAGGCGGCGGCCGCGGGCTCGAGAGTCCGGGGCTCGGGGATCCCAGGGGTCCCGGTTTTGGGGGTCCGGGAGGGGTATCTCGGGGGACAGGGAGAGGGTCTCGGTTTGGGAGGAGGGGGCCGGCAGCCCGGAGCTGGGGGCTCCGGGCGGGCTACCGTGTCTCGTGAGTCCGAGGTCCGAGCCGCAGAGCCTACTCTGATCGCGGCTCCGCGGAGGAAAACAATGCGACCGCCCGGAGCTCTCGGCCCTGGCCTCGGCCGCCCCTCCCGCAGGCGGCCCCAGGCCCGCCCCCAACACGCCCCTCGCTTCACGGTGCCCAATCCGGACCCGGGAGAGCTGTGAAGAGACCGCCCCCCTCCACAGCCCCACGGCCAATCGCAGGGTCCCGCGCTCCGAACACCTATCCCAGAAGAGCAGCTAAGAGTGGGGGGACCTGCCCGGGAGGGAGGGAGGGAGTCGGGGAGACGGAGAGAGAAAAAACAGAGACCTTCGGAGGGAGAGAGACGGAGAGGCTGGGGAGACCGGGGCCCTTCTTGCCAAGGAGAGGCCGTCCGGGAGAAAGCACTTGAGGAGGAAGGAAGGGACACCAAGAAGAGGAGAGAAAGGCCAGAAAGCTGGGCCCCCGGGGCTGTCTAGCTCTTCCCTACCTGGCCTTTGTGAACCCAGACGGCGGCCCGGGGATGGCTGCCCCCTGCTCTTTGGCAGAAAAGCAAGGGCCAGGTGACCTCCAGGGTCCCTGCACATCCCTAGCCGACGATCCTCCTCCCCTGGCCTCGCATGCAGCCCCCTGTGCTGGGCCCAGCCCTCCCGCACCCCAAAGACCCTCCCATTTCTCCAGCCCTCTTCTGAAGCCTGGAC